AGGGGAAAGAGAATAGCCCTGTTAAGTATTTTTTCTGGGAAATGTGAATGCATAAAGCAATATCCATGAAAATTCATAAAAATAAAGGGAGATGGTTTGTCTGTAGAAGCCAGGGCTGTAATTTCTGTCTCTTTCTATTAGGGAAAAGGAATCGGGGGATTTTTTTCAGCTTCTTGGCATAAGAAAAGTATGTGTTTTCACAATAGCTCATCAGTGCAGAGCTATTTTGTGGGAAAAGCAGGAAAATAAAGTCTGTGAAGGGCTGTGAAGCTGTCGAAATGAGGTAGGCACGAGCAATTAATTTAGTCCGTGGTATCAGGGTTTCAAACTGGAATTTGGGCATGTCCCCCGGAGGCCCCTGTGAGYGCCCAGCAGTGCCCGCATTGCCCGTGACTGCTTGAACATGCCAGGGACCAACATCAAAGTCAAATACGGCTTTTGATCCATTCTGGCACTGACAGATTATGATCTTGCAATTGCAGAAACACAGCACTGATGCCTCTCTGCTGCTATTAATCCCACAGAGATCTGTGTGGCAGCGCTTTACCTACCAGAGTCTTCTGGGGCCAAAGCACCAGCCACCTTGCTTCAACCCATTAACCTTGAGATTTCAGGCCTTGTAGGGACCGTAGTTAGCTCTCCAGTTTTAATACTCAGAGCATTTTTAATCTTTTTTTGTGGAGTGAGAAGCCATTGTGTTTTATAACCCAGTTTACAAAGCGACTGGCACGGGGTCCTGTGACTGAAAATGCAGTTTCTCGTTGTGTAGTTGGACCACCCATGACTTTGGGGGAATTGCTAAACTTCTCTGTGCCCCCTTCACTGTGGGAGAGCACAGGAGGTTTTTAACATTATGTAGAAGTAGCTAGGGCTCTGGAGTTCTGCAAGTGAAATGCAATAGAAGCAAAATTGCCTAAAATAGCCCTGTTTGTGGTTATTGTGATTTATAAGCCTTCGTTTATTTATAAACCCATTTTATAACCCACTGAAGTGTTCCATCCTTCAAATATTATTGGCACTTTCATGTTCTCATCAAAATGGGATCCAAAGCCAATCCAAGCAAATAATCCTCTCTTTTTGTGTCCTAATTTCAGATTTTTTCCTACCTAATAAATCAGAGAGAAGAATCTCACGCAATCTTTAGGCAGGTCCCCACGTGTTCCTATATATATACACATCAAATGCCTAAAATATTTGCGTATAAGAAGTAAAATTCCTCTGCCTTGCTTAGAGACCCGGCACATGCCGTTGTCTTTCCAAGCATTGCCGTTTCTGTGGGGTTTTCTAACCATAATGTGCTGCCCACCAGGCACCGGCCACCCTCCGGAGCGCTYGGATCGGAGCTGGCTCCCAGGAACGGCGTTTAGCCGGGCACACAGGACRGGACACGTCTCCTCCGGCCAGGCAAGCCCTGCAAGCCGCTCTCTAGGCAGCCTGCCAGTGTTTGTGCTGTGGTCAAGCTTTTCGGACAGCAGCTGATTTGAAATACATTTGTTTGTTTATTTATTTATTTGTGATGGCAGCTTTTGGCACGGAATGCTTTCCCATTTGCATTAGGTCTTCTTGATTGAGCAGASACTTGTGAAGGTTTTGGCTGAAATCCTTGGTTTTCCATCAGATCAATGGAGGAATGATTTCTGCTCAACTTTGGCCATTTTGCACCAAGAAGCTTCCTAAGACACGTTTTTAAGGAGCAAATACATGTGTTGTCAATACTGACTTTAGAGCTTTAAAGGAGGGCTGTGAAACATGAGAGAGTTATAATGGTGTTTGCACCATAAAGAGAGGATTTTGGCCTAGGGTTCTCAAAATGCACTTTTCCAAAGGACTATAAAAATTTAACAGGGAAAGAGCATCTCTGTCACCTTACATTAAATATAGAGATTAATCCCCGTGCAGTACAGGGGAGGCATGTTGGATGCATCTCTTTCCATCTGTGTCCTTTTCATCTGGCAGCACRGCTGGTCCACCAAGCCTGTGCCTTGGTGATCCCAGGGGAAAACTCCCTTCGGTGGTTTCCGTGCCTTTTTTTTTTTTCTTTCCTTTGAAATCCTGTAAACTGAGTTGGGGGGCAGCTCTTTCCAGCAGAACCTCCCCTGCAGCCGGGGCCTTTTGCAAGGGTTGAAAGGAGCCCTAGGAGGGTTGCACTGGGCTGGCTCCAATGAGGTTTGCCCACTTCTAGCTAAAGCCAGCAAAAAGTAGCCTGCAAGGAAAAATGAAAACATTAAAAAAAAAAAAAAAAAGAAAGAAAAAAGAAAAAGAAATAAATCTTACAATAGCTAATCTAAAATATATTATTTTTGAAAAAATCATTACCACTATATTCCCTTATTTATATCTATATTTCTAGAATTACATTAACAAATAATCTGGTCTGTAATAATAGTTGAAACGATAAAATGCTAAAGCATTTCTATTTTAAAGCGAATTCTGATAGTTTTTATGTTCTCTATTTTCAACCACAGCCGAGCCAAGTCTTCTATAAGGACATTTTCGTTTTGTCTTCCTTTGTTATTGAATACTTTCCTTGCTGCTAAAGGTGTTGAAAGAGCCATTTCCATATAAGACGTGTAAATGAACTCGCTGGGTAGGCAGGGTCTTCACATTTCACAGAAAACTATGACAGTCCTATTCTTGGGTTGAGATTTTTTCCACTCATGGCGATGAGATTATTATGAAGCTGGGTAGAGCAAACAAAATTAACCTGGAGCCTAATTATATACATCGTTTTTTCAGGGGGGCGGCCTGTAAGCTCATCAAAGTAATGTTTCTGCAATATAGCACAAGCCAAAAYTGCCATGGCTTTACACCTTGCATCTCTTACAGCTAGAAAATCCTTACTAATAGAAGTCCTTATAGGCAGGCTGTGCAGGCTGTGTTGTTCATGCCTATAGTCACATTTATGTTTTGCTCCCTCTTCTGTTGTCTGAGTTTTGCCATTTCTTATAATGGGAGCTCCTCAGGTGCAGGGCCAGCCTTTCTCATACCCCTGTATTTGCTTTACAAATACACCTTTCAGAACACAACCACGGTTCAGGATGGAGCCCCTGAAATTTTAACTATATATGTCCTTCTACAATCAGTAACTGTATACTATACAGTTATTTTTATAATTGTTCTTGCTGTGTAAGGGTGACTGAAGTCAGTGTAGACCAACACAGAACTCAACTGAATATTTTATTTTATTGTTTGTGCAAATGGAAACAGAAAACTCAAATTGCTGCTACTTTTTAGTGGTCAGTGCTGGTGGGGGTGTGAGCTTTAAATTAAACAACATAATCTCTACTCTTTCTAATAAGGTCTTCTGCCTTTCCCCTTAGTTGAATCCTCCTGTTGAGTTTCAAACCTGGCAGGAAAAGTTCAGGAAGACTCTTAACAACAGGCCTTTTGGGTCTTGACATGGCTTGGGTAACCACTGCTATAGGTATGTGGAAAACTGTATTTTTTGCAGCAACACTGAGAGAAATGCTGTCCTAACTAATGGGGACTGTTGAATTGCATAGAATGTTTTCTGGGGAAGCTGGAAAATTAGAACTCTTGGAAATCTCTCTATCTTAAGCAGGTAGGTGGGGGCACTAGCTGGAAGGAGCTGGTGTGTAGCAGTGTAGCAGTGCGCCTTGSCAGCGCTTCAAGCGTGGGCCAAAGGAGGATCTGGGCAGAGAACAAGTGCTGGCTCTCACTGTTCCCCACTGCACGGGGAATAGTCCTGTGCCAGGACTTAATATAGCTGCTTAATATATAAAATAGACATACTTTGTGCATGCAGTGAGCAGAAGTGCAGAACAAGGCACGGTGGGAGCGGATTCACCTTGGGGTTGTGAGCAGCAATTACACTACTAGGTAYCTCACACACTTCTCTTGTAGGCATCTCAAACTGCTAGTCTGGTCTTAAAGCAGAGCTGAGAATCTCCTGTTTTTGCTCGTTTAACCAGGCTGCTAAATGTGACCTTGGTGGGTGGTGTCCTTAGGAAGATCAGGAATTGCATTACGTGGTATAACATGTGAAAGAAGAGACAGTCTTTGATCCAGTGTGTATCAAACCACAGAGCCTCAGAGGTCCATCTTAGCTTGGGMTGTAACTAATATCCTGCCTGCATTTGATTTGCACACAAATCTAGCAATTTTGCCAGGTTTGTCTTCTCATAAACTTAATTTGGAGATTTTCTATTAATACCAGATACTTTACCATGGGCTTTTCTTCTGACTGTATTTGGCTCCCTGCCACCCTCCGGTTTGCAGACATCCATTCTAGCTGCCAGTAACCAGAGCAGGAATCCAACAAACATAAACAAATATTTGCAGTGCTTAGCAAAACCTGTGCAGAAGTTCTCCAGCCTCATTAGAGACCCATTTCCCAAAGAGCAGATCCCAAATAGATGCAGAAAGCTGATGAGGTCCTACGGGGAGGCAGGTGGCCAGCGCATACAGAGCTTCCTGCTGGTTTGCAGAAAACTTAGAAGACACTATTTTTAATATTCCTTTGGAGCAGAAGAAATGGTTTAATATAATTTGGTCAGTTCTTTTCCTCTTAAAAATGTCCTCCATTCAGCTCTGGGCTCTAGGCTTCCTTCACACTCTCCATTAGGTTCCTCATTTTGCTCCTACCATTTATCATCAGGCTTTCCCTCATATCTTGCTATTGCCTTTCTACTTTCCTTTTTCCCATGTCTATTCATAGGTGGTTTTCTGATTTCTGTCCCTGTTCCACAGCCTTCTTCAATACGGGAAGGGAAAAAATATATTTCAGTCTATTTTCTAACCTGACATTTTCCAGAACAAGTCTTGGTCACAGATGTGCTAAGGGCTTAAAACTACCTGTCCCTCAGCAAAAGAGCAACCTCACGAACTCCAAGACCCCTCGTATTCCCACATCACAGCCCGTAGTGCCACGTGAGGGCAGACACGGGACGTGGAGAACTCCTGTGGCCGGGAAGGCCGTTGCGCGCCGTGACAGAGGCCCGTGGTGTGGCAGACCATGGATGAGTGTTTGTATTGAACAGACCTCCCTTGTTTGGAACAGAAGAAACGCCTGAGCCCCCGAGCCTGCTGCCTGCCTGGCCCGCCGCCGCCGCCGCTCTTCCCACCGCCCTTCTTCAGGCACAGCTGGAACATGGTGAGTGGGGATTCTGCTCCTGCTGCTCTGCCGTGTGGAAAGGAAAGCATCGTTGGGTTAATGGTATGGCCTTTTCACACGTACCTGTTTGACATAATAWGTGCTCATGCACCTATGTTCACATATGCATCACCCAACATACAACGGGATTGCATTGTATCAGTTCGCCCACTTGTGTGTATTGGCAGGGATCTATTTTCCTTTCCTGAGATATTTTCCTTTCTAAAATAACAAGTTTTTCTACTACTTGGTAACTCCTATTTCTTAATTTCACTAGTCAATTTTCATATGCAAATATTGTGATTATTGTTGGTTTTATGGAAATAGAGATTAGAAATATGCCCAGCATACCCAGAACAAATGCAGGAAAAGTGTAATGCAAAAACCTTAACTGTGGAGGATGAGAGGATGGAGCTCAGGGTGCTACTCGATCAAACCCAAAATGAATTGCCATCCCCTTTCTCATCCTCTCTGCTCGCTCTTCCTCAGTTTCCTCRGGAAGGAGACTCAGAGACAAACATTCCCTAGGAAATGCTGTCTGCTCCTATCTGCTCCTACACGCACTTCGCTGAGGATGAGTTTTGGACCCAGAGACTCCCCCTCAGCAACCCAGAGAGTAATCTAAGCATAAAATGATCCTTGATGTTGCCTCACCATAAAAGCATAATATGAAGACAGACAGTTACTAAAAGAGTGGGTGAACCATGTGAATTTATTACTAACAGTGTCTGATTTGGAGCTTATAGTTGGATTTTGTCTGGAGAAGGGTTTTTTTTCCCCCATGTTTCTGTCTCAGTGTTTGGCTGCATTTCCAGGGGACACTGCTCCTGTCACAGGACATAACTGAGCCACTTGGCTCATGAGAGTCACTATTTCAGGCTGGGATTCACCTCACCTAAATTATAAAAGACTAGATGTTAAGCCCAAGTCTAAAGTCAATCGAGAAACTCTCCATCAATTTTTAAAGCAATCAGCTTTGAATGAAATCCTCCTGGCTAATACCTCCCGGAGCGAAGTTCACTCTGCCTGTATCCTGAGTGTAGTTTATATTATTAGAGCAAAGATGCTATTTTTGGAGAGGAGTTGCTCCTTATAAAATGTGACTGAGCAAGCAGGGTCAAGTCTAAGAATAGCCCTGGGTCCCACGGTGGCTTAGAGGGGCATCCTACAGCCTGGGTGCAGCAAGCCTGTGGGAAAGGGGGAGGGAACATGGCACAGGATATTCTGCTGAAGTGATAATGTTTAAGCATCCGTGAAGATAACCTTGTGACAAACCATAAGCTTCTTTTTAAGGAAGTGAATCGTTTCTCTGGGGGCTGTAGTGTTTGGTGACTGTTTGTTTATCTCTCTGACTGACTGTGTATGCTGCACGTTCACAGATAGCTTTTATTTTATGCAGAAGCTGCTGGCCCTAGATGTGAATGACTTCTGTCAAGAGCTCCAAATGAAAGAGCCTTCCTCTGTACCAGAATCGTATTGCCCCTCAGGACCTCCTGGCCCCCAGGTGAGTGACACACTGGTGACTAAGCCACATTGCATGGCCACTTCCTCTGAAAATATCACAACAATTGAAACATTTTCCATAAATGTTTTTTGCCACTGGATAAACCTTGACCTATGGCTTATTTTTATTTTGATATGCGTATGCCTAACTCATGTAAACTTTCTGCTCCTATATTCTCTTCCCTGCCTGGCCTACTCCAGTCTGCTTCAAGTTTACTCTTCGCTTCCATGGATTTTTGCAGTGGGCCGCATCAGYGAAAACACTTTGTTGATTCCCTCTTTGCTTTGGAGTCTGCTGCCTTCTTTGTGAGCAGAAGGAGCCTGTGAAGCTTGAACACAAGAGGTAGTGAAGCTGCCAGGTGGTGGAGGCAACCAGGAGGCCTCACCCCCTCCCAGTGAGGCAAATGCCTGAGTACAGAGCAGAGGCAAACAAAGTAGGACTCTGAGAGAGACATCCAGGAGATGAGGACTTTTTTAGCTTTGAAGAGACCTGCAAAGTCTCTGCCTTTGACTAGCTATGTGAGCTTAGACCAGTCACTTTGAGMTCCCATTTTAATTTTCACTGTTCATCTGTGTAGATAGACTGTAAAGAGGGAGGCTAGAAATCTTCTGAGGAAATGCTTTAGTTTTAGAGTAGCTGTTTTTGCAAATTTCTCCATCTGTATTCTGGAGAGTATTACCCACTTGCCTTTTTGTTTCCATTCATCTCTCCAAATTGAAATCAAACTGTGTATAATAGCGATCTTCCTCAAGAAGAGCTACTTCGGGTGCTASCACAGTGCAAATAGCAGGAGGCAGAGGACCCACACTGCAGCAGGTGTTTGCAGAGTGGTGCTACACCTGAGCCTCTGGGAACCTGAGAAGTTAACGAGGACCCACACACCATTTGAGAAGCAAGGGCAGGGCACCACAATAAAGAATAATTGAAGTTTAGTTAAGTGGCAAAGAGTTTAGCTTTAATTACTGAAATGGCAATACTTCATAAGATATTAATAAATAGTCTAGAAGATGCAATGTGAAAGCCATAAAGTCTTGTTTTATGAGCTTTGGCTCCAGTATTCTGCCCTTTTGTCTTTGCTGAGGCATAGGATGGAGCAAACTCATTTAGCATGTGAGTTATGAAGGGCACAGAGAGGGGACAAGCAAATGAACATGGTTGTTTTGTCTTGCATTGAGAAGAGTCTCCTCTACATTAGGAAACAGTCCTGCAGTGTGGCTGGCAATGAGCCAGAATGGCAGTAAGTACCAAAGAAGCAGGAGTTATTCCAGTCCTCGCTGGACTGCCTTTAAAAAAAATCATAATATTACCTCTGACTTCAATTGAAGAAACAGTGACATTCATTGTATTGTCTTAAAATGTCTTTTGTTATAAATATTAATCCCGCAACTGAATGATCTGTGGTCCCTCCAACATATTAAATACAGTGAGCCGGTAGATTTTACCATGGTCACCATGGTAAGATTGGTACAACCTGGCTCTGGAATTTTTAATTACCAATTGTGGGAAGGTGTATTCTAAATGGACCAAGTTATCCAGCAGTTCTCCCGGTAGTACTTTTCATGAGGGTCATGTGAAAACAAAAATGCTGCTACTGAAAAAAAGAAAAACGTACTCCTGAGTTATTTCCTTCTGTAACTTACATTACTTCCATGTGTGGTGAACAAAACCCATATTGTTCAGTCAGAGCTGTGTTTTAACACTTTTTTGTAAGGAGGAGAGTTACATGTGTAACAGCATAACTCTGGATTATATTTCCTCCTGTGCGTAACCTAAGATAAAATAAAAGAAATAAGATAAAACTTGGCTCTGACTCCAGTAAGATGCATTCTGATTTACACTACTGAAAACTTAAAATAACAGGAAAGAATTTGCAATTGGAGGTACAATTTGCTGCTATTTGCATAAAATCTACATGAACATTTGGATAGTTTAAGACAGTCATGTCCAAAACTAGAGTAATTTGTATAGCGGGGCTAGTACTCCTCTTATGAAGACTCAGAGAATTCCTTTTATTCATTAAAAGTAATTTTTAAAAAGCTTTCTGATTCTTTTCCTGAGCTGTGATTCAAGGTCTCCCTAAATTAAGAAGTCTCCTGAAAGGAGAATCAGGTTCATCTGAGAGAGAGAAATATATTCATGTATTTAAAGAGGCTTGTGAGGCTCAGGCAGTAACCACAACTCTGCAACCTGCCCTCAGCAGTGGACTGAGCTTCTAGCATTTAGAGAAAATGTGGGAACACCATGTCCAGGCACTCTGACTTCAGAGGTTCACACCAGTAATACAACTGGTTCCATGGGCCAAGGGAAGTCAACAACCCAGGTTTTCTTCCCAAAATAATTTGATAATGGCATTCACTTTTCTCCCTAGGGTCCACAAGGAATTCCTGGTATAGTGGGACCAAAAGGGGAGAAAGTAAGTACTTGGGGTTAAGGAGTTTGATATGTTTTTGAGGGGACAAGAAAAGAGATAAGGGGTTCATGTTCTGTTTTCTCATTTGCTTGAATTTGAATYGGAAGCTGTGCATCAGTTTCAGGCTGTAATTTAAAGCCTCATTTCCCTCTTGAAGCTTGAAATTGCTTGRAATATCTTTTTTCTGTCTTTTCCTGATAACTACCCGTGTCTGCAGAGGGCATCAAGGAGGCAGCTCAGCAGCACGAGTGAGCAATGGTACRAGTGCAACAAATTCCTAGGCAGACATGGGGATCAGAGCTCGTCCAGGCAGTGCCTGTTGTATGGCTCAGGTTCACTGGGAAAAGCAGCCTGTATGTGGAGTTACGGCCTGAGATCTGCAAAGCATTTACTCCATGACGAGGCTTCGACATTTTTATGCCGTAAGCTGGGCACCTATACAAATGCTTTGCTAGAGAAGGAAGTGTAGATTTAGAGCTAAGAACACAGGGAAGAATTGGGAGCTCTGTTAAATGAGCTCTTCTCATTCTGCCTTTGGAGGTGAAGTCTTGGACACAGGGATATTCCTAGTTTTGCTTATAAGCGTGTTGACTATTGAGCCGCCTTGCTTCATGTGGTGTTCATGGGACTAACAAATTCCTTTCTCTTACAGGGGGAGATTGGCAGACCAGGAAGAAAGGTATGGAATAAGGTGCTGTCTCTGTCATCAGCCTAGTAAATAGCAGTGGGAGCTCATAAAATACTCAGAACTCAGGAACTTGAATAACAACTAGCGAATGTTGAAGTCTCACCTGCTTGTGCTGCTTCYACTGCTACTGGAGGTATGAGACAGGGAGCTTGGGGCCTCCGGCTGAAGACCTGAGCCCTGTGCCTTGGAGAGCCCTCGTGGGTGGTCTGAATTTGATAAATTCCCTTGAGAAGAACGTTCTGCTTTAAGCAGGCAACTAAAAGAGAATGAGAAATACTACTGACTAGGTTAGGTCTACTACGACCTTGTGGACAGCGAAAGCAGAATATGGGAGCTATCATAAAAGATATATTTAAAAAAAAAAAAGGCAAAATCAATTTTTTTTTTACCACTCCAAAGTCAAAACAAGGTTYAGCTGCCTAGCCCAGAAGGAGGAATAATCATTAATGATTACATTTACAGAATTTTGGCACTGACACAATGTGCCAACTACAGTCCTATGCTGGGTGACATATGAGCCATGATATATTTTGAGAAATATGTGCCCCTACGTGTGATGAAACAGAATATGTTGTCTCAGTGGCTAAGTGCTTGCATTTAATGTGATTAATTTTGAAAGAAGACAAAAATGCAGGATGAAATCATGGATATGCAGAAGTTAGGTCACTAACTAGGAAAAGAAGTGCTGTTCTGATAATATACAAAATATTTTAACAGCAGGTACAAATTAGTAATTCAAATTAATATGAAACATGAAACAAAAGTGGTATTAATTATCTGATCTAAATTGCAAATGTTCCAAAGTAACCAAAAATGTCCCCTGTATAAACTCATATGTTCAAAACTGTAACAATTCAGAGACAGTCACTCATAAATGTGCAACACCTGAATATCTTYACCACTGCAATTCTTACTCTTCTGACAAAAAAAGTAGTTGTCCATATATAGACCAGGAAAAAAGCAGTATATTTCCTCCTAAAATCCCTGTGGCTTAGGTGAGGTCACTCTTAGCTCCAAATTTCACGATTATATTTCTAGGGCCATATTGTCCAGTTCTATTAAGCAGTATGTGGGGTACCTTAACCTGCACCAATTTAGAATACAGTCAAAGAGAGATTTAGAAGCTGTAGGTATAACAAGTGACTATATATATGTAATTATTGCTATTTCTATGACTAAGAACCTGATATTAAAGAGCTATACTATAATAGTATATTTATTATAGTTAGAAATATAATAATACTCTTTATGAGAATAACAATAAAGATAGAATATCTTAGTAAAAGTTTTGGTTTTATTCTTAGTGTAAAGTGGATTCATACTAGCAGTATTACTTGGAGGTCTTTTCTTTTACTTACACTATACTAAATAAAAGAAGGATTTAAGTTATTGATCCTAGGTTTTAGGATGTTTATTTTGACTTCAGTTAGATTTCCTCTGCCATTCATCTATTTATTTGACTCAGTATCACTTAGTATTTCTGGGAATCCATGTTTCCTCCAGCAGCATCTATATGAACTTCATTATGAATAGAATATAGTAACTATTTTTTGTACTTAAAAAAAGAAGAAACAACAAAGAAGCATTTGGAGTTCTGTATTCCTCCATGTCTTCTGACAGCAGCAGAGGCCTAAGTTTTGCAATGATGTCAAATGAGTTTATTGTAATAACTGATGCTTTCATTTCAAGGGTAGACCAGGTCCTCCGGGTGTCCCTGGAATGCCAGGACCAATTGGATGGCCTGGACCAGTGGGACCCAAGGTAAGATTAAAACACTTTAATTACCCTCAGACCGTGTGTACACTTTTCTTTCAGGACTCACAGAGGATTAGACATTCACAGAGGATGATCTAATAAACATCRTGAACTTAACAGCTGACTCGGGAAGATTCTGAACCACTGTCTGCTGGGAAGCTGTAACAGCACAAGGACACTCTGTTCTTGTCCTGTTTCTTATATTCCTCTGCAAAGATCTGACCAATCTAGGTTAGAGTGCTGCACCTTCAGCCCCACCACAATAGCAGTTCTTATGTTGATTAAATTCTGTCAAAGCAAAATTGAAAATCATATCTCATGGAGACTCATTGATAGCAACAAACATCTTTCATAATCACCAGAATCAGTGTTTCTCAAAAGGCTGTTGGCTGCATGATTATTCTTTAGGATTATCCTTTTGCCTGAATGTCTACTTTTTTGACAGTGCAAGTATGTATGCACATGTGATCACAGGGAAAACTCCATGGAAAAGGGGATTAAAACCATTTGGATGCTGGTTAGATATTTCAGGCACAGTTCCACTTGTCCAATCTTGTCCAATCACCCCTGCAAAAGTTTTGTGTGCAGTACTGTCCTTACACCTTGACAATCCTACTGCTGGAGGCTTGGCACCAGTGCCATTCATGCAAATACCCATTTCAGTCACTTTTCAAARTCAACAGCAGAAGAAATGGCAGGACATGGCATAATTTGTTATACCAGAGTGGTTTCTTCATCTGCATTATTATAAAAAAGTTACAGGATAGTCCTTTACTGAATATTATTTTATCCAAAAGCTCTTCACAGAAGCTAAGGTATATGATTTTTCTCCTGGGGTATTTGATGTACTTGTTTCTCTTCAGTTCAGTGTGTGAGCATCTAGTATATCAGGCAAAAGGACTGCAAATGATGTTGGAAACTGCATTTTCCAGTGCATCTGTGACTGTTCATTTGCTCCAARAGGGTTGTGACACTATCTCAGAGGATATGATGTAGTTGCTCTTGGTAGAGAATAGTAGTGGATGACTTCTGAATTCAAATCACATCAGTAAAGCAGGCCTTCAATCTCCTTGCTACTATGTTAGATGAAGAATATCATATTGTAGAGTGTGGGAATGTAGGCAAGCAATAAAGATCCATGTCCTGGAAAGGAGCCTGTCTTCCCTTTAACCCAGRAGATTGCTCCCCACAAAGTATTGTGTGCTGTGATTTCCCACTTAACAGCTATGAGAACAGAAAGAAGTCTTCCCTATCTTATTCCCCCATGGTTTAAGTACTGAAAAAAAGACTCACCAGAAAACTGGCTCAGTCTGCCTTTTCCTTGCATAATTTTTAGTTTTATTTATGAATTCTTCCCAGTTTTGTGCTATTTTTTTCTCCTCTTTGTCTACTGTTACGTTTTTTCATCATACTCTTTGGAACATTCCTCACATTCAATAGTAATATTTTTCTCTGTGATGAGCTTTCTGTTTAATTTCTATTCTTCTGCTTTTATTATCTCCTCTGATCTGCATTTCCTCTGTTCTTTAGAGAAATTCCTACCTTCTTTTTTTTTTTGACCTTCATATGTGCCCTTTTCCTACTTGGAAATTGGTGATATCATGATATCAATCTTTGCTACACCCATTCTTTACATCATAATTTTGTAAATCTCCAGTGAGCTATTCTTTTTCTTCTCATTCTCATCTTCATGCCTTACATTTATTCAGCTGGTCCTCATTACTTGTCTACTTCTCGGACACGGCCTTGTTTCAGTTCCCATCCCTTCTGCTTTGTTTCTTCACGGCTTCTTCCCAGAATTTCTGCCAAAACAGCAGTCAATATGAAAATCCTCTTTGCTGCTAGGACAGTAGAAGCCAAAGGAGAAAGAGTGCCAAACATATTCTGCTGGATAAGGCTGCTGCACTTCTGCAGGGACTGCTCCATATTTCAGCTTAGATAATTAGCTGACAGGAGCCAGAGATTTCGTTGCAAAGCCTTTTGGTGATTTTGTGTCTCCAAACCACTGTAAAGCCTATGTTGTCTCATTTAATATGAAAGTTACCAGTACGTCCCTCCACACCAAAAGACTTGCAGCCAAATCTTTCTTCTCTGTAACTTCTTGGAAGTGACTTAGATAAGATAGTTGGAGGCTACAACTCTTTAAGTACAAAAGAATGTACTGCTAGTTATTTGCTTTTATGCTCTTCCATAGCATCTGGCAAAACTCAAGCATAGTTTACATACCCAAAAAATACAAACACAAGAAAAAGACAGTATTAGAGGCCTTGGGCAGATTATGATAAACATAGGCTTCTGCTATAGTGCTCTAAAGCATTGTAAAGGTCAAGCTTGTCTCCTGTATTCGACACAAAACCATTAAACTMTCAGACATTCAAATATGACCTCGACAGAGAGCCGCTCACAATCAATAACTCTCTTTATTGACCCCTTTAGGGTGAAAAGGGAGATTTGGGTGTGATGGGATTGCCAGGTACAAGAGGACCAATGGGCTCCAAGGTTTGTTAAACAAATGCTGCGTTTTCAGACATCTGTTTCTAATGCTCTGCTGACAGCTGCTTCCCTCATGAATTTGCTAGAAAGCACTTATCAATATATATCTTTTTTAGTACAGCTAAAAAGATATGCTTTCCTTCAAGCGAGGTTATTTTGTATATTTGGGCTTGGCTGTATTCTTACCTTTTCCTAAAATTGCTTTAGTGTACGTTATTGTAACACAAAAGATCTTTTTAAAAGCAAGGCTCATACATAATTGTATCCCCCCCCTAGAAAYTGGACCTCTGAATTGTATCTTCAACATTAACTCATGACTCAAATGTATCTCAAATACCTCCTAAGACTGTGGAGATTCTTTTGGTCTTCTGGTAAACCATACCTTTGTTTGGATAGTAAGCCCAGTTTGGTCTGGATGTCCTGATAAATGCATTTGTCTGTAGAGCAGCTTCTGTGTTTACAAACTTAGGCCACAGTATTTTGCCGACCTTGAAAAAAATATAGATTTTCTTAATATTAATTTTGTAATTAATGAGTAATTACTTTCATAATTCAAATAAAGCACTGGAAAGAAGAAATGAATACAGAAGCTTGCAGTATATTTCTCAAAGAGAAATTTCAGTAATTCTCACMTTAGAAGCTGACTTAAACACCTTTTAAGTATATTTTYCACAGAGTAAAAAATAAAAAGAGGAAAATTATTAAACTAAATTATAAAACTTATAAAATTAYAAAAATTATAAAATCTAAAACAATTTTAGATTATTAGTTGTGGAAACTAAGGTTTAATTCAGATTCAGTTACAAATTTATTTTTCTTGTTTTAATTTGAAAAGTGATACCAAATCTGCTGGCTTTACCTGGCTTTTCCATGTTGGCTTATTGTCTGAGTTGTCTTGCCTTTAATTCATATTTTGAAATTSTGTTTCAGTGCACTTTTAGAAGCTATAAGCATTTATTCACATTTAGCATTTGATGAAGTTAATTATTTGTGTTTCACTCTTTTTCTTTACTTTTAAAATACAAACTTGCTTCTTGGGTAATTATGAAAATGCAAAGCATTAAAATATCTATCATTCCCTTTAGGGTTTTCCTGGAACTAGAGGAGAAAAGGTCAGTATGACAACAATAGAATAACGTATCACTTAACAATCGGAAACACTTATGTAAGTAATTTAACTCTAGAAATCAGATAATATTGACTGAGGGGAGTCTAAAGGYTCCATTAAAAAATGAAAATGAGTATGCAGAAGGAGAGCAATCTTGAGGCTTATGTTAAGATGCTAAAGGAGCAGGTCTTACATCCCATCTTACTGTGAACAATTTCTTGCACTGCACCTCACTACAGTCTCCATATTGGTAGAACGGTTGTTTGTTGATGTAGTTTATTTAAACTGCATRTTCTTTGTCATGGGGATAGTTGTTAACCCTAAGGACATACAGTGGGAACTGAACTTGAATGAAGACAGTGTCYGTGAAAGTAATAAGGAAACATCTTAGGCTATTTGCCCTCTTCCACACTCTGAAGATCCTCCAATATGCTGCACGGCTCCAAATAGTGCTTCATAGAAGAAAAATATGTTTTGCTTCCATGTGGAATGTAGTAACTAAACCTTTTTTGCCCTGTTATTTCTCCCCAGGGGTCCAGAGGTGAGACAGGTGACAAAGGTGTCAAAGGAGACCAGGTACTTTGTTGGGTTTTTTTGTCTTTCTGAAATTGCTCTAAGCTTAGGTTAATGAACCCTTGAAATAGTTCTGAGAGCAAATAGGGAGTCCAGAACCATGTTCCTGGGAGGGCCAGGGTGACGAGGGGAGGAGGTGGCCCCGCACGATGTGGGGCAGTGGCTGTGCCCCCGTGTCCCAGGGGATGGGGATGTCCTGCAGACAAGCTGAACCTGTGCAATCCAGACCCATGACAGTTTCCTGAGATGTTTCTGTTTCTGTTGACATGCTGTGGTGAGAAGATAGTGAGATCTGTGCCTTATGGGTCCTTTTAACTCAGAAAGGGAAAGCACATCCCTTTTGCAKCAATGAATCACAACTCATTTTTTTTAGAGGTATCTACAGACTGTAGGTGAAACTTGTTTTTCTTCCTTGGATGCCTAAACTGGTGTTGCTGTTCTCTGCCAAAGARCACTCCAGGTGTTTTAACAATTTTTCTTCTTTTCCTTTCTAGGGAGAAATAGGTTCCCCTGGAATGCTGGGTCAGAAAGTGAGTACAGGGTGTACTGGGGAATTGTGTTAAGGGTTGGCAGAAGGTCATAGAATGTCTTCAGAAGTGTCTTTGGCTGTAGTTRGAAAAGATAGAGCATTGAGACCTTGCTGTGGACATGACCATGAACTTTGGGCCTTTTATCTTAGGAAAAAAAAATACATGAGATTGAGCTCAGTTTGTTGTTGTTTCTCTCATTTCCAGAAYACTGGTTTGGATATAATCTTTTTCCCATTTAACATATTCAAAATCTCCATTATAGACTCCTGAGTGGCCTAATAAGTGCTCTGATTTTATCTACACAAACTAATAAACATATCCTTCATGACACCCTCCATCAAAACGGTACTGCTATAAATAGCAGTGGTAACCCTGGCCAGTTTAGATTTCACTATAGTTCTGCACTAGAAAAACAATCATAATTCGTACTTGCATCTCATTTTAGGGGTGGAATTCTTAAATGAGAATCATTTATTAGATAGTCTCATTTTGTCTCTGAAATAGGGCTAAGGAAAAAATGCTTCTAAGGAGGAGAGGAGATCAATGAATTAGCCACCTTCCCCCTTGGTGGGTATTTTATATCATAAATATTGACAGCAAAGCAAATTGTTGTCAAAAAGGTCAGATAGTTTTGCTCAACAACTTCCTTCCACAGCCCCAAGTCTTCTAGCATGCTTCTCCTCTCTCCAGTTAGCCTCTTCTTTAGGCAAAACATTTGGGTAAATGGTAAGAGATATTTTTGTCTTTATGTTTTTACAAAAATATTTGATTGTAATTGTGAGTTTCTCAGGAACAAACTGTGCCAGTACAATCTAGAGGACTCATATGAATTAAATCACTGTCCACCTGCTAAGTAGTATAAGGCACATATAACCAAAGTATTGCAAATTTCTGTACTTATATTCTTCTTCCTTTCTCCACACCCACAAAGGGCGAGATGGGTCCGAAGGGGCAATCTGGAGCACCGGGACACAGAGGACCTATAGGAAGACCAGGAAAACGAGGCAAACAAGTAGGACCTTGTTGTTTTCTCTTCCCTTGACTTAAGTAGTTGTAGCAATACGTGCAGCATTCAAATACCTGGCCACACATCACAGGGAACTGGTTCAACAAACTGGATGAAGTTCTGGATAAGGGAGGGATTTCAGGTGGTTTTGCTGAAGAACAAAGGATACTTCCACTCCTCCCTCATACTTTGTAGCTTTTAGGTACATATTCCTTCACATTCTGGTGTTTTTCTGTGCCTGCTACAAACGCGACATCATTTTTACTGCAACTCTAGGCAGGTAGGTGGAGTTGGCCTCTTGTGAGGGACATGTCATTGCCTGWGTCCCCAGCTGTTCCTGAATTTTCTCTGTGACTCACCACTATGGAGAACTATATTACTTCTATTAAGAATGACATTGCTTGTGTCTATCAGTAATAACATCATCTACACTAAAAATTATGTGCTGCAATGTATTAAACTATTAYGTAATCTGCAGCAATGAAAGTCACTGGTCTATACTTCCAAGCCTCAGTCCTTTCATACATTCCCTATTTCTATCATATGCATTAAGTGTTCATCTAGTGTTTTTTTAGGTACTGACCCTGCAACTTGGCCCATCTGGAGAGCACTTTCTGCTCACATTATCCAATTTGGCCCTGAGGTTGATAAATACAGATCAGACTTCAGAGTTGCAAGGCCTTGGTGATGACTGAAACATAGTGCAAAGAATCAAAGTACTAAAACTYCATTTCTGTTTATTCCTCTCCCTCTGCTAATACTAGTACAAGATTGATTTGTCAGTTTGGTTTATTTATATGACACTTCTCACCATCGTACACCATGTCAGGGACAGCTTCATCTTCTCTGAGAAAGGTCAGGATGAACACTTAATGACTTGAAAGAATGGTAATCTTGTGTGGAATCTGGTAGGGAGAGGGATGGTGACAAATGGGTCTTATTTAGGATTCAAAATAACTATGCTTGCAGAAATAACTTTTCAGATTTTCAGATAAATTCCGAARACTGGGAAGTATGTGTAAATTTGATATTGACCCCTCCAAGGACAGTCATTCCCATTCTCCAAGGAGGCAGTAAGATTAGTGTTGTTAGCAATTCAAGTGACCATATATACTTCTTTGCTTGCATCTTTCCTTGAGTATTTTTTTAAGCAATGGTATTGGGGAAAGCAGGGGAAGGAAGTCCAGCCTGATGCTAAGGAGACCAGACCCTTTTGGGCTCTGAACTACCTGAGGAGTCCATGTCTTCCCACTGACTGACAGTGAAGGAGTGAAGGTATGTGTAGCATAGTGCTACTAGGTGACCCATTGAGAATAATTTYTGTCATTGAAGTAGCAGGTTTTAAAAGCTGATGTGTGCACTCTGGCAGTTTTGCCAAGAGTATTCACCTGTTTTTATGTAGCATAAGGGTTGGAGAAGACACAGTGCCCACAGGCCACCTCCTGCTCACACAGAGCATATGCATTATCCTTTCTTTTCTTGAAAATGTTATTTGAAATCTCTGCAGGTCTTACTGTCACACTGAAGTTCTGCATTTCTGCAGTTGTTTGTTCAAGTGAGAGGATAGTTTCCATCAACATGGGGCCATTTCCTGTCTCTTGATCCCGCTGACATCCCAGATGAAAGCTGCTAAATTGGGAAGGTGTTACTTCCACTTCCATTTTAAGATACATCTTGAGTATCCCTCTGACTTCTTCAACTCTGCTCTGCCTCTGGGGCAGGCTCTGCCTGCAAGGTGGCAAGGAGGTGGGATTTGCAAGTCACAGCCTCAGAGCCCTCATGCAGAGATAAAGTGCCCAAAGGAACAGATGCCAAGGAGTGAGCTAGGATTTCAGCATTGGCAAGGTTAGATGACATCACTCAGGAAAAAAGGGAAAGGAATATAAATATTGCCCATGGGAAAAGCTTTCCTGAATGCAATGCGTGTGTATGAAAAGGCAAAATATTTAATAGAAACCTCAGTCTTTGTTTAATCTATCTGTGCTAAGCAAGATAGCTTGAAGCAATCGYTCCTCCAAAACAGGAGATACGGAAGTCTGGTAGCTTTCAGGCAGTTTGTTCTGGCATTGGATTTTCTCTGCCAGGTATTTATTTTGTTGGAAAAGAGATTTCCCACAATCTCTTTTCTCAGGGGCTGCCAACTCTTGCTCTGCCAGGTTTGTGTGCTCCCKTTGCATAATGTAAGAAGCAATTAGCGATCAGCATCGTGGACATTCACATAAATCTTGGAGTGTTTTGATGGCACAGACCTAACCTAATAGGATTAAACAAAGCAAATATTCAATTAGATTTTTATGGCTCGTGGCAAAAATAACCTTYGTCTGTTAAATGGTGCAAGTGACATTCAAATGTGTTCATGGGATACAACATATTGTGTAACACCAAATTATTTTAGTATATATTACTATGTATGCTTCATTACTCTGAAATTAGATCTGCAACTGCCCATCATTCATATGTGAATGCACATAAACCTGAAATTACACCATCCACAAGGAATTAATCTCCTTTGGCATTTAAGAAAAGCTAATACAGCACCAATCATTTTTGTTATGTTAAAAAAAAAAAAAGTGTTGTTGCATAGAAAGCAAATTAGATATTTAAACTGAAATCTAAATCAGTTTTGTAAAGCTGAGAAATCCAAGCTTCAGAATAAGAAAATAAATATAGTTATAAGTTAGGGAGCAAAGCGAGGAAGGYGTTGCACAGTCCCAGGATACATTTCCAAATGCCCAAGGGGATGGCTATACAAGAAAGCTCCCAAGAAATAAACCAGGGAGCTGGTTTTAAACTATATGTAAGCTCCTTTCCCACCAGTCATTCACTGTACTTGGACTGAGTGACCAGAGGACCATCATTCACTACCATGCAGCAGGGCAGACACCACACACCAGCTTGCGCTTTGTAAAGCCAAGCCTATCTTACCTTGCAATGGCTTGTTAACATAGCTGAATCTGAGGGGAAAGTCAGGACTAGGCACTTGAAATACTTTTGAAAATGAAGCATCTGCCTCAAAGCATTGAGTTCAGAAGCATTACATCTGAAAAAAAATGCATCCTAAGTCTAGGAAATGTCTTTGCTCTTTTTAAAGATAAAAAGAATTGATTTCTTTCCATCAGCCTTGCAAGTCAACCTAATCTCCAGAAGCCAGAGCTGCTTTCTTTGCAGGTTGTGCATTAACACAGTAACTGATGATTTTCAGGGTCTACTATTTCACCTGCATCAGTTGTTTCTCTCTGATTTGCGCTGCCTCCTAGTTAACTACCACAGACAAAAAAAAAAAATCTTTAAAAAAAGTCCACTGAATGACTTAGATCGGAGCAGAGTGGTTCCTGACTCCACACAGTGCAGATCTACTGGCGTCATTCACTCTCCTGGGGAGCAGGAGCCCTGCTTGAATCYACCTTTCTATCTCCATGTGGAAGAGGACGGCACACCTCTCTCTGGGGTGATGGCTCTGGTGCCCACGCTGTGCACTTGCTCCTCTTGGCAAATGTCTCTGCTTTCTTGAAAGGGAAGCCATCACTGGATGTAGAGGGGGAGAGCTTGTGAGTTATTAATAATTAAATAAACAAATGGATGTCTYCTCTTCCCTAGGGACAAAAGGGAGACATTGGACCTGTGGGAATCATGGGTCCGCCTGGAAGGCCTGGTCCTTCAGGCCTGCCAGGCCCCCCTGGACCTTCAGGATCAGGTAAGTAGTGGATCATGGAATTTTAGGCACTGTCCCTCTTCACTAATCCCTCTTGACTGACCACATCTGCCTACATAGGTGCCTTTTAGAGAAAATGCCACAAGGCTTTGTTTGCTTCTCTACTTACATTGAGATTTCTCCAAAAGGCAGGTAATTCCAACCTTCCCCCATTAYAGGAGAACTTACATCTTATTTTGAAGCGTTCATAATGTTTTTTTGGTGCTTCAAATAAAACTGGAACATGTGGTTCCTTGTGGGACTGTATTGGATGAGGATGAAGAAAGGCTATCTGGCAGCCTTGGAGAAACTKGTTAATTTTCATCATCCAAGGTCTGTTGCTTCTCCAGATACACTAGCTTGCAATGAGAGATTGCTATTTCTAATCAGCCAGGACATACTCACCCTGAAAAGCTCTGTAAAAGAAGCATCTGTAAAAAAACAGATGAGCCCAATAATAGGGGGAGAAACAGGAAAGAGAAGGAAAGTGACAGGAGTTAGAGGGAAGAACCCATGAAGAAACAAAATTTTCTTTTCCATTTTCTTCCCTTTCCTACGCTGACGGGCAGGAGATATCTTCCTTCTGGTGGTGTGGAAATGGAACATGGGGATGACTTTGCAACTACTCTGCATATATCTCATTATKAAACATCTTTATCCTGAGCAAATTATCTAGAAAATTTTAAAGAACTGAATTTTCACCATGCCAATGGGAAGGCAGACAGATCTTGAGATTACTTTTAAAGACTTTATTCCATCCCCAGAAAGTTTATGTATCAGACTTGTCAATCTCCTTGCTCTAACATATAAATTCTTCTTCCAAATGACGTTTTTGTAATGATGTCACTGCTTGCAGTATTAACATGATGGCTCATAATTCTGATTCTGCAGACTACTGAGTCCTTGATGCTGTTTGAAAGTCAAAAAGACTTGTTCTTTTAATCTATTGCATCCTGTATTTCTAGCTGGGATTTCCTTTATAAAACTCTCTGAGACAGCAGTGCTCAGTTGACTGTATATATACACAAGTCATATACAGACATAATGCAAAGACTAACAAACTCTTACATTATAGGCACTGCATGGGTGCTGTAGAGTAATTACGTGTGCATCATGGCCTGAAGTTCTGTAGTTTCAATCCTATTGACACTTACTTGGAAATCATAAGCAAATGGCCAACCTCTATGAAGTTGGTAGAAAAAAATAAACATGATCTGAAAGAAAATGAATGTGATACAAGCTCTAGTTTTTCTCCTGAAGTACTAGAATTGGTGGTAATGACTCCCCCAGTTCTCAGTAGATTTGCTGGGAGATGTGAATTTCTGAACATTTTTGTAAGTGCATATTCCCCTGACCAGTCCTTTTTCTGCTCAAGTTGTGATTGTGCTTTGTATGGTAACTTCCTCACACAGCAACCTGCTATTTTGCTTCCTAGGACAGTTAGTAATAGGACCAAAAGGGGAAAGAGGACTTCCAGGGCCTCCAGGGAGATGTCTCTGCAGATCCCCACACAACGTGAATAGTCCACCATATGAGGAATCTGTGTTTGGACACAGCTATCCAAAAGTCCCTGCGGTAAGCAGATTTTCTAGGAGAGAGTGGCAACTGTTCTTAAGTAGTTTTTTTAATAAGAGGTGTTGTGTTTGCTAACGTTTTAGCAAGGAAGGATTTAACAAGGAAGATGTCTGTATGTGGGCAGTGTGCTATTTCTACCACCCAAAACCTTTGAGCTCCAGTCAGAGCCAAAGAATGTAACCTCATCTCTAGTTCCGAGGGCTGTGTAACTGAGAAGCTGAAATACAGCCATCCTGAAGCAGTAAGGAGGGTGGCACATTTTTAGAAACTTCTTTTGGACATAAGGATGCTTTCCTCAGCCTTACTATACATACACAGTCTGGTCTTTTTGCAGTCCACTGGACTGTATTTCTGGTTGACTGGTGAAGTATCTCTTTTTATCTTTTTCCTTATATTTTGTGTGTGCACACTCAGTGACTTCAGAATTGACTGCCAAGGTCAAGCATATAGCATGCACATACACAGCACTTCCTCCCAAAACACAGGCCCTCTGCCATTAATGCAAAAAGTCTTCATGAACCATGGGGGTCAGACTTCTGAGCTCCTGTCTGTACATGAACTCTTTTTACAGCCCAATTTCAGTCTCTAGCTTTCTTGAAAGCATTTTTATGAGCAGATTGGACTAAGTGCTCTGAAGGACAAGTCACTGCTGGCAAGCAATGTAGGACTTCTCCTCTCTCTGCTTTCTTTGGGCTTTGTAAATACTATTCCTGTACTTTTCCTTCAGCTGGGCCCTGCATTATTATTCTTGGCACGGTAGCACTTATTCAGCAATGAAAATACTGCTTTTCTGCTGCAGCATGGGAGCAAGCATGCATGGGTGCAAGCATGCATGGGGGCAAACATGCATGGTCCTGTCACCTCACAAGAGGAGTGTTGCATGATGTCTTGCATGAGATTTTAACAACACCCAGCAGTAAGTTAATGAAGATGTAACCACCTAAAACACAAATAACCCACAGCCATCTCTATGAGCTCTCGTGGTGACAGCCAAGTGCAATTTCTGCTGCTGGGAGTAAAGGGATGATGAAGAGGCAGGCAGGGAAGCCACACAAATCCCTGCCCTCATCTTCTCTGAAAGTGGCACGCTTGCTGAGCTGCACTCCCCAATTGCTTGCCAAGTTTTTTTACTACCTAAAGTGTCAAGAGCACAAGTTTAGAATGCCACATAGCAGTATCTTAATGTATTTTTWAAAATATTTTATAGCTTCCAAGACCAGGATCTATAACTTCAGAGAATACAGATCTTCCATTGGTTTTACCAGAAGTTAGAGCTCTGAGGCTGGGACTTCAGCTCCTGAACACAATTACAGAATTGGTTCTTTGTTGCCTCTTTCGTTGCTTTCTTTCATTCGAGCTGAAGGCTTTTTTATTCAATGCTTCTTTAATGATATTGGCCTTTGTCAGGGGCTCTGGGAATATTCTGCTGTGTTAAAATTTCAGGGTAATTTGTTTTTTAAAAAAGCCAATTCTGTTTATGCTGGTGGGAATCAGGCTCAGGGAGTATGTTACTAAATCTGTTTTGCTCAGAAACATTCAATTTGCTTTTTCTTAATTTAAAAATGGTTTGCATTTTGCTAAAATTAATTGGATTAAGTTACTGAAAGAAGAGATTATTTCCTAATACCTCTTACAGCCAATTTCAGTGTCTGAGACATAAAAAGAATTTGGGTAAAGAGAAGCTCATCCTAATTCTCTCTACTTTGAACCTTTTCTTTCTGCTTAATTGAAGACCTTGCTTTAGATTGAAGTGTGTGCTTGTAAAGCAATATGCATTTCAATACCAATTAGGTGTAAATAAAATATTAAAAGGTAAGTGAAAGCTACATTGAGCAAAGCATCATTTATTTTGAAGCCACAAGCATGTCTACAGATGCCCTCAAAGAGCACTTAGACCTGGGTTTTGCAGTTGTTCCCGTATCTAAACATTGAGCATCTGAAATTTTTCGCAGCAGTGATCATGCTATGAGTATTTGCATGGTCATTACCTGTGGAAATACRTTTTGAGATAAAGTCATTGGAGCCTTAATTAGGTCCCCAAGAAAGACCATTATCTCTTATAAACTCCTCTCTTTCATAGTTGCAAAACAGCCTCTTACTATYTTGCAGAGCATGAACTAGCACGGGGTTTTGCAGTACCATTCGGCTTCCAAAAACCACCAACCCATTTTTCTGCACAGCTACACATGTAGCTGCTGATACAGATGTCAGCCTGCAAAGCTGGATCCCACAACAACCCAAAACACCTACTGAACAGGTTACAAATCACCTGTTTTCCTCTGTTCCAGATTTTTGTGGTGAACAACCAAGAAGAACTGGAGCGGCTGAACACTGAAAATGCCTTAGCGTTTAGAAGAGATCAAAGATCTTTGTATTTCAAGGATGTCATTGGATGGCTCCCAATCCAGGTGAAAATATGACTATGATCTATGAAAACGTGCAAGTGTATGCTTCATTTTCAAACAGAGTGCCTGCCCCTGAACTTAGGATATGATGCAGAATCAATCAAACAAATGCAGAGAGGCCTCATTCTTGAGCACTGGCACAACTGCTTTAGTACTTTTGGTTCACAGGAGTCTTAATTATTGAGGCACTAACTCATCAGTGTGAGGAATTTTGCTAACCTCTCTGTGAACCGTGTTCCAGTAGTGAACAAGATGGGGCCACATGGGGGATCGTGGTGGTAATGGGAGTCTGATTTGGCACAAAAATAAGGCAAAACCCATCAAGGTGCCAACTATGAGCAAGTACAAACCCTGCAAATCAAAGCCCGGTGTATCCTTACTGCCCCAAGGGGCTGAGCCAGCTCCRAGATAATCCATAGGAGGTTCCTTAGCACACTTGGCACCAGGCTCCGTATAACCTCTATCAACCATCAAATTGCAGGATAAGAAAACCTGGTGGCAGCAGAAAATCCTGCTGCCCGTGCATTAACCGCGGTGTGTTTTCTTGGCCAGCTCAGCCCCCTCTTCCCTGTGGGCTCCTCCATGGAGCGGGGCGGCACGTGCGGAGACGGCATCGTGCAGGCYGGCGAGGAGTGCGACGACGGCAACGCGGTGGCCACCGACGACTGCGTGGGTGAGCTGGGCCTTTGCCTTTGGAAGCCTTTCCCTTCTAACATGGGAACCCCTTGACATGTCTGCMTTTGGAAACAAGAGATTTCAAAGGCAGTTCAGCTGCAAGTGCTATAGCAAGCAGAGCCACATAAATAAACTCCCCTCTAGGCTTGCCTGACCATGGGAGCAATCCAGGGAGGTAGAGTCTCCCTCAGCCTCCTCTCAGCCTCCAGGTATGAGGAAATTGCTCAGTTGGGATTTGCGGTTAACCGTGAGCAACAAGCATGCAGGAAAGCAGTGCTCTAGTCCCAGTGCTTGCACAGTTGCATGGTATGTATGGTGTATATGGCATGGATGCATCTGGAAGCCCCTCGTGTGTGTCTGGGCTATGCACTGGRCAGCTCTTCAGTGAGCAGAGGCCTTGCAATAGGGAAGCTCTGCACACTGACGTGTCCTGGCCTGAGGAGATATTACTGAATTATTTAGCCATGAGTCATCAACGGGTTCCTGAGCACCCGTGTGCCTCTGTCAGTGGTTCTCCTTTCAGAAGGAGGTTGTTAACTGAATGTTACGTGGGTTTAATTGGACATGAAGCTCAGAGATCTTAGGAGCAGCAGTTTCTGATAAGCAGGACATTAGTGCAATTAATGAATCAGCTGTGAGATTTCTAAGATGAACGCACGRTTAGTAAATGACCCACTTCTAATTCATACAAACTTTCTATCCTTCCGTGTCCTTTTAATGTACCTAATAAAAATGCCTTTRAGAAGGAGTCAAAGGGATCTTAGCCAAATGAATCTGTTTTCAGCTTACAAAGTCATACTCAAAAAGTTGGAGGCATCAAAAGCAAAGTCTGTCTGTTGAAGTACAGTCCGTAAATTACTGCAGCCTACCCTCCAGTTACCATGAAAAAATATCTCCATGAAAAAATATCTCAGGTCCTACTCACACTGAAAGCAGCAAAAATTAGTGAGAAAAAAAGCTTTTTTTTGCAACAATTACATGCTTATTTTTATTTTATTTTTGATAGAGAGGCAATARGCGTGCATAATCATCTCTGTATGTGGGAACTCACTTGTGGTAGGCACATGTGGATACTACTTGATGTTGGGTCAAGATCCAGCCTGGGATTTTCAAACCACTTAATTATTTTCTGGAAAAAAACAAAAAAAACACTTCAAAATGTGACCTCCAGAAATCTTTTATTTTAACTGTTTTGTATTCCTTTGGTCTGCTCCTATAGTAATTATCTATAGTAGCAATATTTATTGTAATTATTCTGGTTGTAATTATGGCTCATATAATAATTATTTATAGCATTTCTTTTAGAAAGATTTCTTTGTAGTGAAGAAGACTGCACCTCCCAAGACAGAGGTCCTTATAGTCAGAGTTCTGATAGGATACCCCTTTCCAGTGCCTTGTTTTATGCTCTGCCCTTAAAAATCCAGTCCCACTTGTGCTACAATCTTTCTCTGTGTATTTTTGAGTAGGATGCCGCCGTGCTTACTGTGGTGATGGCTACAGACACGAGGGGGTTGAAGACTGTGATGGGAAGGATTTTGGATACCTAACATGTAAAACATATCTCCCTGGGTATGTATGAACGTGTCTCTTGCTTCACTGTTAAAAGAGAAAAAGTATTAAAAGAGAAAAGTATTGCCAGGTGTATCTTGTTCAGCTGGGACTGCTGAAGAGAGTGGGGAGGAGAAAGAAGGTCAGAGTCTTTYCATGGTCTAAATGTCACATCTCCATTATATGCACACAGGTCCTATTGGGATAAATGAATGAAATCACATGGGCATACATTAGAATATTATTTGCAAATATTTCCTCATTTTGGGAATGTTAGCATTATTTTAATGTTCAATTATACCAACATTGGATAGACCATGATGATCAAATGTGGAAAAAAAGAGCACAGATCTGTTTCCTTCTGCCCTTACCCTTGACTCTAGGGATACTCTAGGAGTATCTTTGTATCCGAACCAACCACGCCAACCCTTCCAAAGAGCAGGAAATCCACCCAACAGCCATGGAGAGCCATACAACTGCTTAGCRGTGTCTTTCTGTGAAGCATCTGCTTAATGTTGAGCTGCCTTCTCTGCAGTTGTTTAAGCAGCTTCCTTGGGTCAGCATTTTGCCTCCAACAGCAGTACCTCTATTTAGCTGTCAGGTATCGTTACTGGCTAGCAGGAAACGTTTAATTTCCAAATGGAATTATGTRCAGAGCCCTCATCCTTCAGGAGAGAATAATGTACTAATTGACAGGAGTAAGAAACCGCAGGACATCTTTGTAAATCAAGAGCTGTGCTAATCCCTCCCTTGCGATTGCTGGAGCACTCCTGGTGCAAGAGATTACTGAAAGTGAGACTAGCAAACCTGGCAAACATTTTTTAGGGATCGTGTCTTCAWGAGAGTGTTGAGCTATCTGCCTGTAAAAACAGTTTCCTTTTAGGTCAGATGCCAATAATAAGTCCTGCAAAAGCATGAGATTTTTCTCTTCTACATTTCGTTTTCTACATATAATTGAGTTTTGAAGAGTGACTGAAATCCCTTTTTTGTGTGTGTGTGCAGCTTGTTGTTTATCTGCTAAAAGAAAAGACAAGCTGTGACTCATCAGGACAGTGAGAGAAATATGTAAGCTTGGCGGTCAAGAGGAGTTTCCTCCCAAAGCAGCCTCTCCTCCAGTAGCTCTGCTGCAGCTGGTTTTCCTATAATCTACTTTTTACAGTGTCAAAATCCCTCCCTCATATTTTACTCACCTTTATTTCAGATTTTGTGTTGGTTGTCTGAAAACATGGGTCTTCTGAGGACATATTTTAAAGGACCTGTGCTTTGGAGTGCATCATTCACTTGAACATATGTTAGCCATAAAAACTGATCAAAATTGATTTTTTTTTTTTTTAAATTAACATGTCTGGTCAGATCTTCAGGACATAGAATCACTGCAGCTCAGTTTAATGGAAAGATCAAAGAAGATCTCATTTTATCTTTATTTCATGAATATCTGCATATATACACACACTCTAAGCAAAACTGCATCAAATGTTTTTATTTCACTAGATATTCCTTCCAAGGTGGGCATGTGGCACTATCATTATTTCATGGATTGGAAGTTACTTGAGAATGTCTTACTCGGATCCTCCGATATTTTGTTGTACAATGGGGTGAGAATGGGGTCTCTCTGGGTGAGAACCCAGAGGAGTTGCAGGAATTAAACCAAATCTCAGTGTCAGGGACCTAGTGACTGTGCTAAGGATTCACAGCTGCCTGGAGCTGGTGTTGAGGCCTCCTCCAGGTACCATGGCCAACATTCAGGTTCCTCTCAATAGGGATTTTCTTCTTAAATGACATTAGTGGGCATCAGGATTTGCTGCCAAGGGGGAGCACAGTAGAGCACCACTGGAAATTGCTCTTCTGTTTTGGTTGCCAAATGCCGCTGCRCTTTCTGGTGTGATGCCTTACATGGATTGCTTTAATTCCTGCAGTATTTGTCTCCAGAAGATGCATCCACGGCAGCATATTTTGGAACTGCAGCATATTTTGGAACTGATCTGGTTTTCTTTCCTTTTAGGTCTTATGGAAAACTACGATGCACTTCTTACTGCTACATCGACTCTACACAGTGCCGATACTTCACATGAGGGGGCTCAGAGGTGGGCAGCACCCCGCGGGTGACGGGGGTGCTCGGTGCTACGCTCTCGTCTGCCCAAGGAGGACTGGGGCAAAAAGGAAAAACTCTCTGTGAAAACAAACAAGTCACGCTGCTGATGGCCCATTTGTTTTTTTTAAATTAAGTCAGATCAGAGAAAAGTAGGACCACTGCATCCTGTCTTAATAGAAAAATGTCAAAYAGTAAGACTTTCCCACTGCTCTGTGTGGGAACTTGCTCTCTATCACAAGTGCAACATCAAACTGCTGGAAAAGGAATTTCACTAGCCAGGAAGATTGTGTATTAATACAACATTACCTCAACTTAGCACTGTTAGACCTAAATGTAAATTCTTCAGGGTTTTTGTTTTTAAACCTGAGTGTAAACACTATGCGTATCTCAGATGTGGTGTTCATTGAGGCTCATGGCTCTTTTATGACAATGTGAACTTTTGAAGTGCTGAATCCACAGGAGTTGTGATTTTGGTGCTGCTGGGGCTAACCCTACACCCTGATGCCATTCAGAAAGTGCTTTAAAGGGCAGCAAACCAGGCAAAAATCACCTCTGCCTCCAGCTGAGACGTTCAGCCGTGTGCACCCGCACGGGCGCCGGAGCGGAGCCGTCACACGAAGCCTGAAACTGCAGAACACGAAGGCCAAGCAGGGCAATTAAACTGTGACAYAGCCAAGGAGCGCTCTCTTCCCAGAGGAATCAGCCTGGAATTGAGGTCAGAACACGGACACTGCTCGTTTTTCCATGGTCGTGATGCCAGGAGCACTGGGACAGCTTCCCTCAGCCGCTCCTTCATCCCCCGCCCAAAATCACAACGTGGCCACGTGCTCGCCACTTGTCACCCCGGGTTCTGCACTGGAGACTATTGAGTTTTGTTTTCCTCCCCTCATCCCTCATCATTCAGGTAGCTGCTTACAGCCTGTCCCCATTCCRTGTGCCCTCCGTTTCTGCTGTTTTGTCTGGGCCTCCACTGAGTGGACATCCTTGGAGGGGTTCAACTCCACAAAGCAAATCTTGGAGTCGTGTCTTTAAGGATGATCATTGAGTCTATGTGCTGTATAATGTCCATATATTTTTATTTTTCAGAATATTTGGTCAAATATATGAGCTCTAATAGGAGTCAGGGTGATATATACTTATTTACTAGCAAGCATTAAGGAGTAAATTTCATGTGAGAAGCATATTAAATATGTTATGTGTAAAAGAGTTTGTAATAGAAGAAAATGCTACGAAGAYGTGTGGAGGTCAAATTTAAAAGCCTTAAGTGAAGGTGTTATTTTCCTACAAGCCATTCATTTCTGCTTTGCAATAAATGCTGTACCTGAATATGTGAAATGCATGAGGTATATGTAGCAATGACAGCACTGTAACAGCTGCACTTATATGCTTCCTTCTATAATGTTTAAATAAAGGTGGATGCTATAATTTGGTGGTAATGTGTTAAAACAACCAATAAATACATATAACTTTTACCACCTGTATAGAAGACTTAAGCTCTGCATGTCCAAAGAGTTACTGGAGTTACTGAGTCAAAAACAAAAAATAGAAACAGCTACTGTACTTTCTGTGGCTATCTCTTACCTGGACTATGTATGTTGCTATGAAGCCAAGCCACCAATGTTTGTAGACATTTTCTGCAAGGACAGGAACGATTTTTCTTCTCTTTGCTTTTTTTTCCTTGTCTGTTTTGCTCTTGAGCAAAACTACCGATATGTGTTCAAGGAACCAGGAGAGCAAGGGATCTACCATAAGCTGAGCAAACCTGTGCGCTAGAACAACCCTCTCTGGCTGCCTGTGTCTGTTTGATCCACACGCAGGTATCCCCACGGCTGCAGGAGGCTCCTGGGAATGCCGCTTCCCGGGAATGCTGCTGCATCCGCTGCCCTCCGGCAGCCTGTGCGAGCTGCTGCTGTCTCCAAAGCTGCTGCTTCCTCCAAACCCTTCTCTGGTCTATCTATGGCTGCCTCCTGCTTTTCCTAACGCTGTTCTCCTTTGGAAAGGAGAATGGCAGCCACCTTCCTGAGGGCCCTCTGGGAGGGCTTCACTCCTGTCCCCTTCCCCTGTGAATTCCCTGCATTCTCCAAGGAGCCCTATCCTAGTCTTCAAGAAACGTGATAACCCCAGACACTTTTTACTGTCAATTTAATCTAAGCTTTAACAAGACCCACCTGGAAGGACACAGAAGCTGCAAAGCCAAGAACAGAGAAGATGGAGAGTGTGAAAAGCSGGTGAGATCACTTTCTTACAATTGTAGCGAGCCGCGCATTGTCATGAGTGGGTGTATCAGTCCGTTCAGAAAACATCTACAGAGCATGAATTTTAAATGCACTTTATTTATACAGCACAATCACTTCAGCATCTTTAAAAAAAAAAAAAAAAAGAGGGGGAAGAGGGGGAAAACCCCTTCCTCCTTGTTTCTGTTGTACCTGCTAAAAATTAGTTAAGGATTCTTCAACTGGTTGGTGCCTGTTCAGCTCTAAACTAGTTCCCATTTTGGGGGGCATACTTGGCCATTCGTAGCAGCAAATACTTGTGGGAAAGCTCCCCAGCGATGAGCATGCAGCTGTAGAATAATAATAAAAACAGTACGGGCTTATGTCAAGCACTGTATTAACTCTATCCCAAAAATCCTGCTTGCTAACTAATATATTAGTAATGCAGTTATCTACAACTTGTCTTAATAGCTCACCTCAATAAATCACATTGTCGTGGTTCTGGTATTTTCTTGCTTTCCTTTGCTTTGTACAAGGACATTTTAAATCTCATTACCTAGTTCAAAACGCTGGGGAGGCGAAGGAAYATCTTGGCTTTCAGCTTGGAGATGGTCTGAGGTGCCACCACCAACACCATAAGACGCGAGAAGGCAACGCTGGAAGATTCCCCCAAGGAGCGGGTGAGTGTCTAGGAGAGGCAGCATAAAGCTGCTGGTATTTGGGGCAGTATATTTTTCCCCCCTCTCTTTTATGAAACCTCCACTTCCATGACATTCCCCTCTCTGGTTTCCTAAATCCTTATCACTCCTCTTTCCTCTTCAGAACACACAAGTCGTAGCCGCCAGCTGCGGACTCTTRCTCACAGATCTGACCATGCAGCTCTTCTTGCTTCATTCTCAGGGCTTCTGGCTGCATCCAAGGTCATATCCCTTGTATCCCTTCCTTGCTCCACACACGCTGCTTTGTCTGCTCTTCTTTCCCCTCTCAGGTGACACTTTTTCCGCCCTCTTCCCCGTGTCGCACTCCTGCTCAATTCCTGCACAAAGCCCCTTGGCCACAGCTTAAAAAGCCRCGTGCTGCTTAGAGGAGGCAGCCTGAATGTCCCCAAAGGTGCAGGGAGCGAGTCCCCTCTCCTCTCCCTCCCRTGGCCTGGGACCAGGGTGAGGGGCTCCCGGCGGCTGCCAGGCTGGGACACCCCGGAGGCAGCACGGACAGTTCTTGCCTAGGGAGGTGGCTGCTGCACGAGCAGCCTTGCTCCTCAACGCAAAGCACGGAGCAGCGAGCTGTGAACGYGCAAAGACAAAACCACTGGGACCAGCACGAGGGCTGCTTACGGACCTGGCTGGAGGCTCTGCACCTGCCCGGCGGCTGCCACCCCAAATCCAGGGAAAAAGGGCACAAAGCTAAAGCAAGGGAACCATCGGGACCCTTATTTACCAGGTCGGAGCATTACAGCAACCTGTAGTGTTGCACTTGCTCACGCTCAGCAGCATCTTTGCAGCAAAGCAGCAGTTTTGGGGACTGCTGTTGCCCCCAGCCACCCCGGCCGGAGCGAATCCAGCTCCCCTGATTGCATTCCTTGTTGTTATTTGTAATGAGCAGGTCCTCGGGAGCCGGGACCTGACCCGGCACAGCGAGCAGAGGGCAGCCGCCCCAAATCATATTAGAGGAAAGCTCTCCTGCTGCAAATCCCATTAGTGGCCACTTCTTTCCCTCTCTGCCCTCAGCCCCCACTAAAAATTTGGAGCTTAAAAAGCCCTGAGTTACAGCCCCATCCTTCCAGGGCTTTTAATTCACACTGACAGTCGCCTGTGTATTTTATGCCAGGTCTGCTCTGCCTGTTTCTATTTCAGCTGCCATCCACACGCCTGGGGGAGCTGGGGGCTGGCGCCGGCGGCTGCTGGGGTTCCCCTCACTCCCCACCACCGCTTSTGAGTTAGGCTGGGCTTAAAGGGCAGGATCACTGGTTAGAGAGAAGAAATGGGGCGCAGCTCCTGCTGAAACACGTGTATTGGGGGCCAAAACCCACAGGGGGGACAGTTGGTGGGTGCACAGCACAGAGCTGGATTTAAGTTGTGTTGCTCCCGTGCACCCAGATGCAGAGCCACAATCCATGCGGTGGCAGCAGTGGGTTTTTGGCACCGCTTTGCTGTCATTTCACAGTGGATTCAGTTAGAAAGGACCCTCCAGAGCGGCAGAGTGGGAGCTGGGTGGTGACACTGGTTGTCCCGCTGCTCTTTGCAAGAGGAGAAAAGATTATTCCAGGGCAGGGCTTTGGGGCCAAACGAAGCCTGGTACCAAAGGCAGGAAAGAAGGACCRTGGGGTGGGTGCCTCAGAGCAGAAAGGTGCACAAATGCTGCCCGTTTTGCACTACTGAGGCTCAAGAACCCAGAAAGGTCCCAAAAGGCCACGGGGGATGAACCAACCCCAGATTTCTGCAGCACTGCTCAGCGCAGTGCCSAGCGCTGCCCACGGGCTCGGGGTGTTTTTCCTCACCTGGAGCATCCAGGTGCCCAGATTTCACAGTGAGAGGGTCTGTTGTGCCGAGCAGGTCAGTACCTGAGGASTGAAGACTTGGTTATTGCCACGGCAGGAGCGACCGCCCCGCTCAGAGGAGGACGGCGAGTTGGCGCATCCCTGCCCTGATGGGAGGAGGGCTGTTTACTCAYGGCTTTCTTCTTCAATTAGAAAGGGCAGTAATAAATAGTGGTCTTTGAAAAGCTATATTCATGCAGGAATACCTTGCTCACATGTGCGTTTTTGAGTGGCTGCACCAGAAAGTCTCATCCTCCTCATAACAAGAAGCCAAACTCCTTCAGAGCTGGTTGTGTGGCCAAAAATCACTCACACGCCTGCACGAAGCTTCCTCCTCTCCTGGGAGCCACTACACACAGGCCCTTTAGAGACTGTAAGGAAACACCGGCAGCCTAAGAAAATGTTAATTAATTAATATTTTATTACTTCATGCAAAGCAGAAGAGCTTTGGCAAAGGGGATCCATATCCCAGCAGGAGCAACAGTGTCCGTGTGCGTGAAACCTCCATGCGTGTGCAAGGCCCACAAAGGACCTCTGAGCACTTTTGAGGAGCAAAACGCTCTTATTCCTCCCCAAAAGGCTCCTGGGGGTTGCAGAGCCGAGCGGGCGGCTCCAGCGTCAGGCGGTGACGGGCCCGGGGCCGCACGGGGCGGCCGCGGAGCAGCTGCCGAGCCCGGGAGCGATGGAAAACCGTGACCTATAGGCAGGCACGCGAGGCATGCCAGCCCCCCCGGGCTGCAGCTGAGCCRCGGGAGCCGCGCCGCAAACACAGGCTAAATTAATTGGAAATTACGTTGGCGCGAAGCCCCGGCCGGAGCAGCGGGGCAGGGCCYGGCACCGAGAGAAACCCGCGCAGACCCAGGTGAGGCGTCTCAGGCAGGTCTGCGTGCGGGAAGAGAGCGGCCTGTCCTGCCTTAGAGAAACAAGAAATAAACATCTCTTATATATACACATACATATATAGTATATATATTATAGGCATATATATATATGCATAGATCTATATATATTATATAGATCATACAACATATATGTATAATATACATGTATGTATAATTATATTTAATATTATATTTAATATATATTTGAGGGACAAATATGTTTGGGACAAAGTTCTGAAATATTAGGACAAAGGTACAAAACCTCTTGGACACCCAGATGTACAGACGTGTACCTTGGTTGCTCCAGTTTCCGAGAACATCTGGTGMGTGGCAGCTTTTCCTGCACCCCTTTTCTCAGACCCAATGCTGGTGCTTGGCCCTTACCCCCCAAATGACCCCMAAAGCTCCTCTGCTCCTGGCTCCAATAGGGAGAAGGGCGTTGCACAAGCACATGAAACTTGAGGGATGGGGACAAGGGACAGGATTTTAGCATGACCTTTACTCACAGCCAACTCAAACTTGGCCAGAGCTTTTGCTGGGGCAAAACTGTTCCTCCTGCTCTTTGCACTGCTCGCCCAAGTTCCCGCAAGGGCAGCAGATCTGCCTTCTTCTGACGGGTGGAAGTCGCGGTCAGGAGCTATTTGCCCAGACATCTTGCCGTGCAGATGATCCCCGTTAGCTGCCCAGGGCTGCTACTCCTGAGAATAGCCCAGGTCGGGCTGTTCCTGGGAGCAGAGCGTGTTATGGGGGTGACGGAGACGCCTCACGCCAGCAGGCAGCCCCTCTGCAGGGGAGCAGAGCTCCTCGCTGCCCCTCGTGTCCTGCCCTGCCCACAGGAAAGCTCGGAGGTTGGGATCATGAAAACAGGACGTGCGGAGCATGGTGGTAAATTAATTGGGCTGCTTGGGGCTAGATACTTGGCTTGGGGGTGTTAGCCAAATCCCCATAGTTATTATGGGCCAAATCTGCAGCCACCGGGAGGTACCACGACCCGTCCCAACAGCAGCAACAAGTGCACAAGGGTTTGAGGTCTACGTCTCCTTGAGCTCCCGCATCTCCAACCCTGAGGAAGGGAGCTGCGGCAGGACACACACACCCTGCCCCCGTGGTAGGTCTTGGCCATGATTTGGTTCCATCTTCTGCTCTCAGGAAACATCTCAGAAACTTCAGAGATCTCCAGGTGGGAGCAAGGTCTTTCCACAGGGCCTGACCCTTGCTGCAGGGAGGCACTTGGGTACCACAGAGCTGCCTTCCAGCAGGGGCAGGACACCCAGTTAATACTCTAGTATTCATATATACTAATATTAATTAATACTAATTATACCAATACTAATATATAATAATAAAATACACTCTAGTGTTAATAATCTTTATCTGCAGAAGATTGAGAAACCCCCACAGAGGCACTGGAGACAGGCAGGGTTGGMAGGGGCCTCTAGAGATCATCCAGTTCAACCCTCTGCTCCAGCAGGGACACCCAGAGCACGGGGCACAGGGCGGCATCCAGGCGGGTTTGGAAGAYCTCCAGAGAARGCGACTCCACAGCCTCCCTGGGCAGCCTGTGCCAGGGCTCTGTCACCCTCGCAGTGAAGAAGTTCCTCCTCACCTGGAGACGGAACTGCCTGTGTTGCAACTTGTACCCACTACCCCTTGTCCTGTCACTGATAACCACCGAGAAGGGTTTGGTCCCTGCCTCCCTACGTTCTCCTCTCAGGTACTTACACATGTTGATCAGATCCCCTCTCAGTCTTCTCTTCTCCAGGCTAGCCAGGCCCAGCTCGCTTTGTCTTTCCTCACAAGACAGGCGCTCAAATCCCTTCACTTCCTTCGTTGCTCTACGGGGGACCCTCTTGTAACCCCAAACATTCCATGATTCTGTAGTGTCTGGCCAAGTCAAACCAACCAACCACCCCTCCATCCCACACAAACACCTGTWATCATAAACAGCAGCTCCCCTTCCCTTCCCAGGTTGCAATTACAGCCCTCACATGGGCCAAGGACCCACAACTCCGTGCCAGATGCAACTTTTATTCTCATAATCAAAACAGACTCCATGTGCTYGGACATTCTCCGTACAAAGATACATACATGTAGTTTCCATCAACCAGAAACAGGAGGCTGGCGACGGTCACGCAGCTCCCAGAAGGGCCGGCAGGCCCAGGAGAGCTCCAGGCCCTCTGCTTCRCCAAAAGAAACAAAAACCCATGCACGGAGGAAGTGAGATTTTTAAAACATGCTTATTTAAAATAAGTTTATTATAATGAAATAATATAAAAGTCTGACAGAGGTCTTAACAGTACTCCAAAAGAAGAAAAAATGGAAAAAAAAAAACCCCAAAAGACAGATGCTGCATAATTTGAGAGATGATGCAAACTGAAAACTCTGAAATACTTTGAGTCTGAACTGTTTACAACAGTGCTGTTTGTGCAATGCTTACAAATATGAGAGGGGGTTTAGGGGGCAGGGATAAGCCCTTGCAAACAAGAAAATTTAAGTGGAAGGCAACACACCTTCTCTTTACCCGGCTTGGCATTAACAAAAGGAATGCCCAAAATCGGCAGAAAAAGAAAAAAAGGTGGCGGCGGGAAGGAATGGACGCAAGAAAAGTCACCTACCAATCTCCTTCATCACTTTATAAGCTTTGGTTTGACATACATGTTTTAAATAAGGGCATGAGGGACGATTTCTGGACCCCYGAATGCAGCAATTCGAAATAAAGCAGGCCGGCTCAGCACCAGCCCTTAAGGACAGAAATGAGGATATGAATAATCAGGACATGGACACAAGGAGGTTTCATGCATGAAAACCCTTCAGCTTTGCGGAGGTTTTCCCGAGGGGGATCCCACTCCGGGACAGGGGGAGGTTCTAAACTTGCAGCACCTGCTCATTTACCTGGGCACGAGGAAGGGCGAAGCTGCGAGTGGCCACTGGCCAATGCACCACACGAGGTGGCAAAAACGCACAAACTGCAGTATTTTCCCCCTCCCTTTCATCAGCGCACTACAGGCAAGACAAGAGGGGAAAAAGGCCCATTGACAAAAACGGTCCCTGTGCTTCCCAGCAGAGGCAGAACTGCAGAGCTCTACCAGTAAGAGGCAGAACGGGCCAGCTCCTACGGGCCCCAAATTACGCTTTATTGGTAAAACTCAAGTTTCCCAATTGAGCCATTTTCTTGGCTAAAGATGCCAMACCAGGGAGCAAGTTCAAAGGAAAACAGCCCGTTCTCCACCTGGCTCCATAGCTGGTTGCCTGCCACAGAACTCAAGTCTGTTTTTCCTGGGTTATATTTTTAATTACTTGTGAACTCCTGCTCTGGGGCTCTTGTAAAGGACTCCTGGCTGACAGAAGCAGCTCGGACTCACAGGGAATAGGGAAAGGGAGGCAGCCCGACGGGAATGTGCTGCTGCTCTCTCCTGGTGTCCAAAAGGCAGTTTAGGGCTCCCTAGAGTTTTCTGCAGAATTAGAAGATATTCATAATCAAAAACAAAACAAATACGTGTGTATATATAGTTTTATATATATATGTAGAATGGTCCACAGCCCTTGGCCAAGGCATGGTACAATGCAAYGGGAGCACATTTTGGGCACGCTTTTTATATGTCCAGCCAAGCAAGAAACTATTTTTTTTTTTTCTTAAGAGATTTTTTTTTTAATAGCAAACTGCCTAACTAAATCCTGTTGATGCTTTGCAAGGCCTTGCGAGGGCCTATGACCCTTAAGTGCTCTTATTAAGGGCAGACCCCTATTGCAGCAGTATCGCAACAGGATGTTTCAGTGACTCAATACGTTTGCACTAAAGCACTTGAGTATCCAGCTCATATTCTGCTATGGTAATCTCACAGATCCTCAATACACAACCGAGTACTGTGTCTTAAAAAATAGCAGAGGGGGCTCCAGAGCGTAGCTGGTTTAAAATTAAAAAATAAAATAAAAACCTTAAAATAAATAAAATAAATTAAAGCCGCCTACTGCTACGCAGAACTCGACTGAAACCATTAGGGAGCTCTGCTCTAAAGCCAGTGGCACTATGTTAGAGAGATGGGTATGATCCTCATTAAAACACGCTGCCCGCCGTCATTCCCTACGTGGGAGCACTTCCATGGGACTGCTTTGGGATTTGCCATGGCCAGCAGGGAGGCCAGGGCCCGGGCTGCCGGGGCCACACGCTGCCCCACAGCTCCCCTACGGTAATTCCATACACAAAAACCAGCCTAGGGCACGGCTGCCATTACTTTTATTTCGCCATGGCTAAGTAAAATCCCTGAGAATGTGCAACTGTTTGACACGGAAGGAAGGAGCAGAAAGCGTTCCTAAAGGAAAGGGGGGTTGTGCACCTGCGACGGGAGCGGCCGAGGAAACCAGAGCGGTTGTTGGAAGCACACGGRGCCGGGGTGCTGTGACGGGAGGGTCCCATGGGTGCCCGTCAGCGTGCGGGTCAGGTCTCAATGTCAGACACAAGCGCACACACGCCACGACGACACTTCCTCTCCAAATTACTGAGGGTCAGTAATTAGCTGCTTGCTAGAATGACTGAAATCAGTAACACTCCTCGGGTTGCAGAACTGACAGCACRAAGAAAGAAACTACTGAATTGCGGAGCAGAGCATTGGTTTACGCCTGGCAAACTGCTCTGTTGCACCCTGACTGGTGGTGAACTATCTAGAGCTGAGCTCTGCAACGTGCTGTAGAGGCTTCTTTCCAAGTGGTCCTTGGAGTGGAAAAAAGGAACATTCATTAATGGCAAAAGTGCCCACTGCAAGAGCAGTGCGTAATGCAACAGGAGCTTAGAAAGTCTAAGGTTACCAAAAGAGGAGACCTTGCTCAGCTCCCCCTCTGCAGCTCCCCTATTTAGCAAGCACAAGGGGCCTCCTGAAGTCACTGTCCCTCATAAGTCAGTTCCCAAGCACCAGGTCCAAAATCCAGAAAAGTCTGGATTTCTCCAAGAGGATTTGGACCAGRAAGGCTGTTCCCAGGTGGGATATCCCCCTGCTTCCAGGATAGACAGAGCAACACACAGAGCTCTCTATCGTAACAAGCGAGAGGAAGAGGAGTCAGTACTTTCTGAAGCTGTCATGACGCTGTCAAGTTTATTATTTAAGAAGTAAAGCTTCTTTGTTTTTGCATCAAGCCTTGGGTTTGATACACTACAACCAAACTAGTGGTTCTCTTGCTATAAAAAAAAGCCACACACCCCCACACACTCCCACACAAAACACACACACACAAACCAAACTCACCAAGTCCTTAAGTGCTGGATACTCCTTCCTGCTCCTGCAAAAGTTTGGAGTAAAAGAGATCCTGATATTCATCACGCCCTCACAATTAATTTTACAAGAGGGACCTCCTCCTGCCCACCCTCTACCACAACTGGTGTTTGGACAGAAATGTGGGCTCCAATATTTCCTCAGCTAAGAGCTACTGCAGTTTGCCAATTATTAGCTGAAAACCCTGTGGAAACCACATGCACGGAGAGCTGGTCGCTCTACTCTTAAGTGCAGCCTCTCAGCACTCAGCCTCTTTATGCTCAAGAAAAGTAGACAGGCTCCAAACCCAGAGGCTCGTTTTTAGCACTGCAACTGCTGAAATAACTGGAGTTTGGCCATAGCTTTGGACTTTATGTTTAGACATAAGTACTACTATTTTATATACTATTTTAGAACAAACACATCCTACATCGTGATTATCTTTTTGGAAGTATAGGTAGCCAGCAGCACTTTAGAAATGCTGGAGAAGTAAGGAGGAAGAAAAGTCATACTATTTAGCCACAGCTTATCACAGCTCCGGTATTTTGCTTTATTCACAAAGTGATATTTGGCCTTTTCTTCCTTTATCACATGCTCTTCTCAACGCTAGCAGTGGCGGACTCTATAGAAAGGATCAAGTATTGTGTGTGCAGAGAGGCTCCTGCCAGAGATGCTGCATCAGCAGGAAAGCAGTCCTGCTTCACACTCATCTACCTCAGGATTTGCAGGGGGGTTTGGCCTAGAGAAAGCCACTACTTCCTTGCAGAAGGCAATGCTGAAATTTCTCTTGTACTTATGAAGATTTGTCCCCTTCCAAGCACCTAACTAGCAGTCCTCCTTCTGTACATGATAAACTCAATCCTTAGCACTGCTGCTATTAAAAATAATAGTTATGTGTCCTTTTAATAAGTGAGATGGTGCAGGGCAAAATTCCTAACTCATGTCGAAGGCCAGTACAAGGTTTATGAATTACTTACTGCCAGTTCAAGGCGTAAGTGAGTCTCAGTAGTGACAAAGGGCTTTGGATAACTTTGTGCAAAAGACAACATTATCATCTCTACCWGCAAAAGAGGGGAAAAAAGCAGACGGGTTCTTTTCCTAAAACCCTATCACTTTTACACAATTTGGATTTAAAGGCTTGTAAGTGGCCAAACGTATACGGCTCAGTGCCAAATTATAACTTCCCTCCGACTTCARTCACTTCATATCTGCTTTTATGAAGCTTCTGCTCATAATGCCACAGACTAAGCAAGGGTTTTGAGACAAACTGATTACAAACTGCTCGCTGTGTTCAATTTATAGACCTTCATGTGAATTTGATTTCAAAAAGCCTCAAACCCCAAACCGACCCTCCCAAATCCCAGCATGATGAACATGATTTTCCTTTGCACCACAGTGTGCTGAGGAGAGCTGAGACCTAGTGGAGCCCATTCCCCTGGCTGCCAACCTGACCAAGAGCAGAGCAGACCATCCTGTGCAGCCGTCCTCTCCGAGCCCTCCTCAGGCACCGTGTGGGCCGGAGCACCCGGCTGCCCTGGAGGGCGCAGGGAAGCTTGGCGTGGGATTGTCCTGGCGGCTGGAAAGCCGAGAGGGAGAACGTGGCAGCCGTGCAGGGAACGCAGCGACCGGTGTCCCCTTTCAACAGCAGCCTCCTGGGGAAGCTCAGGGCAGCAGCTCGTGGTGCAGATCCCCACTGTCTGGGGCGGCGAGTTGAACGGCAAAAGGGCTTCCATCCAGAGCAAGTCAAAGAAAAAGGATAAACTCACTGCACATCTGATGAAGCTGCAGTTAGATGCCAGCCTCCTCCTGCCAGCAGGGTGACAATAATGCTCCTTACCCCTGTCCTCCTACACAGCTGCTGCCGGTGGCAGCAGGGCGAGTGCCACCGCACGGGCCACCCGGAGCCTGTGGCAGGGGCTGCTGCTGCAGGCCACCCTGCTGCCCTACGAGGCCCTGCTCCATGCTGGCCACGCTCCACTCCTCCTCCCTGCACAATATAACAGGGGGAGGGAGCAGGGCAGGAGAGAGGCAGAGCTGCGGAGCCGACAGCATTCATCGCAGACACAGCTACGACCCCAACAGAAACAGTACCTCTGCATGGAAACACAAAACAAGCATAAAAAAATACAAAACACACATATTCATACACACCCTTCCCCGAAAAAAGCACTCACACCCTTCCCAATGGAAGATACGCAACAAGCAGAAGTGATGTTCAGAAACAAGGACACAAAAAAACACTTTGTTAACAGACGCAGTCCCTGAAGTTTGAAGACACCGTCTTGCTGCTGTCATACCACCTCATCTGACTCCAAACCATGTACTTCATAGAGAGTGTCCAGGATATTTAGCTGCTTTTCCATGGCTGGTAAGTAAATGCTGAGGTCCCTCTGCATCCCTTTATAAAAGGTTTCTTCCTGAGCGTCGCACTCCTCCACAGACAGTGCTGCCACAAAGTCTTCATACGTTGGAGCCGCCCTTAAAGCTAGCTGGGAGAGGAACCAAAGTGTTTAGATTTGGAAAAAGACAGAACAGGGAAAGAAACCCAGCCAGAACCATGAAAAAGCATCTAGTCTAGTGCCCTCTTTGCACTTTRATTACATAAGTGTGTAATCAAATCACGTGCTTTAATATATTTGCAGTTAAATCTGAACTGATAAGAAAGTAAGTTTCTATTATCTCTGTGTAGATGCCTAGTTTAAGTCCCACTTAGCCCTTATTTTTGGAAAGCATCTGTGCATCCTATTTTGTACAAACAGCAAATGTCAAAAAATGTATTAAACACAAAACCTAACAAAAGTAAAATTGGTTACRAGAGATCCCAACCTAGTCCCACAGACTTCAGTGTTCAAGTCCCATGCTCAAAAGCCTCTTAGAAAACTCCCTCTAAAATATCTGCTTCTCCGAGTCACTGTCACAATGACTTGGGCAATTTTCACAGGTCCAGAGATAATTTCCAGGAATAGACACAAGGGGGAGCTGCCAGACTAGACAAAAACTACATCATTTCTCCTGGCCAGTATGTCCTGGGCCATTGGCCTCCTCTGCGCTTCCCTGAATGCTGCCATCAAAAGGGACCCCCAGACTCAAAAAAGCAACTCCCAAATTCCTACACCTTCATTTCATAGTTCTCTTTGAATATGACAGTATTTTAAATTCTTATAAAAGATTTGCAACACTGTTGCAAAAGAAATAATGAAAACTTTATGCACAAAAGAGCAACTCACATACATGTGTTGGCTCAAAAAAAACCCCAAACAAATGAAAAAACCCCAAATCAGGTTCCATCTTGGATGCGCAGTGCTACGCAGCAACAGCCACCCTCAAGTTCAAGTCTGATAAAAAGAATCTCTTCGTTTCAAGGCTTACAAATTTTAAAACATTAAGTAAATGCAATATAACATCCCATTAGCAAGACCCCTGGCAGCCAAGAGAATTACTTACCGCAAAGACCCCGCGTACAACCCAGCCGTGGTGCTGCCTTAACGTCTTCCCATAAGCATTGTCTTAAAGAGGAGAGGARGAAAAACAAAACAAAAAAACAAAAACGGGAGTTAAAAAAAAGGGTATACATATGGCRGTGTTAAGTTTGCAGCACAATGAAAAGTSAAGAATATAAAAACTTCTAGTTCTGAACATATACTGCTGGACATAAATTGCTGGACATAAATAATGGCTCTTTTTTTAAGCATTACTCATATGACTGAAAGGAAGGAGAAAAGGAGATGACAGAATTAGGATTTCTGGGTTGGGGTAGGGGGTGGTGGTCATCAGCTCTGCTCTCAGATCTCAAGCATGTCATCCGTGGCAAATCCATGACAAATAAGGTGTTTGAACAGATAGGAGGGGAATGTAATTTGTACTTGACTAGCTTTGCCTCATGGTTCATTTTTCTTCCTCTCTTTAGTTCTCAGTTCCTTGCAAGTCTGGAAAAATATGACAGMGGGAGAAACAATCTTGCGAGCTGACAGCTAGTCAGTCTCCATCCAGACACCTAGCTCAGACATTYAACAAGGTCTCTTTACATATAAGGGTAAAGTTTTAACGTCCTAGAATAGAAAGTATTGGACCTTTATTAAAATAATCTTCAGTGTGTCTCATGCAAGTGCTCCTGAATATAGCCCTGGCTACATTCTCAGACAGTCCCAACAAGCTACACCACCTCTACTGCCTTTTCTTCATGCCACAATTAGATGGATGCCAATTAGATGAATCTTCACCAGGCATTAAATTAAGATCAACCAGTTATCTAGTAACCTGCCTGAACACCACAGTTTTCAAAGATGTTGGATTCTGGGGCCAGCTGCATCAATATTTGCAGGAAAAAAAAAAAAAACAAAACAAAAACAAAAACGAACAACCAGGTTCTAAACAAGAAGGAAAATAACTGAGCACATAAATGCACGGACATACGAAGAACAAAGCTACTGCAACTTACTCAGAGCTGTCTGGATATTCTTTTCTCCATTCTTCACTTCTGTTAAAAATCCTTTCAAGAACTTCAAGCCTCTGTTAGGATGAGCCCATAAAACAATAAAAACAAACAAACAAACATAACACACAAGTTTATAACCAAACCACTCTGTTTGCAACAATTTTTGGTGCTTCATAATTTTAGTATYTTAGAATGCCATCGTGCAGCCTGCTAACGCAGCTTAACTCCCACTGCTTATAAAATCCAGAGTTAAGTAGACATTTTTCATCTGTATAAATAAATGCAGTCATCTCCCACAGCCTCCCCCCTAGCATTGTCACTTAGTGGGATGTTTCCACTTTTATGGGGACGAGGTGGGAGAGGTTGCCTGCAATTGCTTTTCCCACTGCCGCTTCGAAACAGAAGCACAGACCACAACAAACGTGATCCTAGTCAGTTTAGACTGAGGAAATCTGGTGAAAGTAACTAGTTTGCTCCATGAACCGAAGACTGTATTGGTGAAAGATCGTCACAGCAGAACTGCTTATCACCTGAACAGGTAGGAGGTTGTTACCTTTTCAACCACAACAGAGCCTCCGTCGCAGAGTTTCTGACTTGTGCTACCCCCGCGTTCACTTCATGGAGCACTATCTTCTGAAGGGTATCAAACTCTTCCTTGTTGGTTATAAATTTCTGGTTTATTTTCTGCAGAAAAATAAGAGGAAAGGCTTTATGSTTTTAAGATCAAGCAATGTCTACAAATCTACATACACAAACCAGCTATTTACCAGGATTCTTCCTTGCTAGCCTAGATTGGGCAAGCAGCATGGGCAAACCCCAAGACTTTGCTCCTACCATGTGCCTGCTGCATCACCACCGCTTAACACAATAAGAAAGTGGCTCTGTCCACACTTTACTTGCCATTTATGTCTCATATTATGCTTTAGGTAGTTCATGTGTCATGATACATACAGGTGGAAAGGCGTTAATCAGCCTGCACAGAGCAAAGACCAAATACAAGATCCTCTTCTGACAACAGCTAAACTGCAATCTCTCAATTATACTTAGCAGTCATCAGCATGTTTACACTTCTTAATTTATTCCAAAGTTTGTTACGTACAATTCCTAAATGCACAAGTAGAGCTTCAAGCCTCTGCAGACACAGAGCTGGAAAAAGTTTCAGAATGGAAACCTCAGCTACAGGATCTGCTCCAATTTATAGTCCCAAGGAGCTGGTTCTTAGTGAACTTATTTGCTCTGACTGGGTTGAGGAAGGGCATTTCTTCTTATTTGCTCTCCAGTCTAAAGTCAATACTGATACAATCGCATCATGGCTTATAATCCTCTCAGAATCCAAGTCATATTCATTGGCTGTAACAGCCTTGTTTGACTTGGCAGTCAATCAAATTTGATTTTAAAAGTTTCATTGTGAAAAATAGCTGGATTTATGAAACACGGTAYGTGGTCCAAGAGCAGAATTAGGGAATCTCAGCATTCTGAGCTAACAGTGAGCGACACTGGCAAATATAAAAAAGATCTTCCAGTATTGGCTCCTGACATAAAAATTCTTTTGTTCTGATACCCAAATTAGATGTTCCAACAAAGTTAGGATCATTAGTTCAGATTTATGCTGGCTAAATGGTGCCCTGTTTGTTTAAAGTCAGTGTTAGAAATTAGCTTTTACCTTAATGTTACCTACAAAATCCATTTTAACAGGAGCAAAAACAGTCGGTCCCAGCTTGTCTGGAAAGAACGAAAGGCCACATTTTAAGATCACACCTTTTCCCACTTTTTGTGCCTCAGAAACAACCCATTTTAGTCACTCTTACAAATGTTTCTGATAATAGCAGAATACTAACTGAACAACATAAACTTAAGTCTTTCTTCAGTTACAGAACCCAAAACCTCCATCTGGTGTAAGAGTTAAAGACTCTCCAAAGCTCCAATATATTCTAAAGAGACCCATAACATGTCAGATTCCGAGGCCAAGCAGACAGGGAATTGTATTAGCTGGAGATGGAAGTCTTTGGGAAAAATTCCAGTTGTACTACACATAAGGCATTCTACACTGTTCTTGTGAGGAGAAGAAATTATTGTTCCCGATGAACTCAGATTCCCAGGCAGCTTATACAGGGTTCTAGCTAAACAAGACTGAATTCTCTACAAAAGCAGGAATAAGAAACATCTTCTGGTACCAGACTGATTCTGCTGATAGAAACTATTTTCACATTATATCAATTCACAAAGAAATGAATTCTCCAAGCTAACTGTTCCACAATCCACTGCCACTRGCTAGGAGAGAAAGGAATCAGATGCATGCACATCATGAAAAGGAGGAGCTGCTTACCCAGAACRGGCACGATTGCATAACAGGACTCCAGAAACTCCTCTGTTGGTATGCCCTCCTCCTCACGGAGCTCAATATCACTGAACCTGCATCCAGGATAAGCAGAAAAGATATTTTTTACTCTTAGACTGTCATCACAAACCACAAAAACCAATTCCCCATATTGATATTTTGGAAGAACTCAAGCACAAACTCACTAGCAGCGATGCTTTCAGAACTCCACACACTGTTTGCACTTACAGTTGCAAAGGAACAAATGCTTCACTCCCAAAGAGGGAGAATGGTAGGRAAGTCATTCAAAGTTGGGTTTAGGTGAATGACTTTGCTCTCAAAGCATTCTGCAGAACTGATTTTATAAAGTCTATCATCTTCTACTACTGTGCTGTAACTCGTCTTGTCAAATAATCCCAATATATATAGCTTTGCAGACAGAACAGACTTAAGATTCAATTAACAGCTTAACATGGGCTCTTAATACCCTTGTAATTAAAATCAACAGCAYGTACTACCTATTGCTCATGACGCTGAAGAAGGTAGGAAAATCTTTTTCATTTCCGTCTTCCTCACACGATAAAGTTGATCCACACACAGAATCTGTTTCTGACTGCAGCAACTTGTGGGTACCAAAGCCTTCCACAGCTTGCAGCYTGCTCTCTCCATCTTCTCTCATACCTTAAAACATAAAGAACATACAGRAAACATAAGAAAAACAGAAGAGCACAACTATATATACATATATTATTACAGTTCTGTGCATGTCTTTAMAGGAAGGCATACTTGGAGCATGCAAGTTCAAAAGCTCTCCTGTCAGCACCRTGACACTCACCACACTTTCTCTGATGATGGCAACAAATTTAAAAAAGCTTCTCTTTTTGACTTCCTCCCTCTCCTTTTCTTCTCTCATCAGACAATCCAGCTACCAGCCTCCCATACAGGKGAAGCTGCACATGTTTAGTGAGGAAGTGCTTATGGAAGCAGAGAAAAAGGACTAGCTGCTGTGTGGTTATAGCCTCCCTAGCATGGAGTTCTGGAATACTAGCCAAGCAGAGGAGGAGAATGTTTTAAAATGATATAGTCCATTCRAGAGAAGAAGTGATGGAAAATATGTTACTTTTAAAGACTTCATTTCAAGTTTTAGCAGCCCTTAACAATTTAATCATGTTGGATGGAATTTTATACCAAACTAATTCAATGGAGTTTTGCTGAAGCCACACACAATTCCAAGTTCCATGTTTTGCTGAAGTAATGGGAAGAAATAAGGTACTTTCTAACATGCTTTTAACAGCAGGGAAGAATGAGCAACTACATGGCCAGGATCCCTCGTACAGCAACACAAAACTTCCTGCTCCCCTTCTGGCAAGGCAGGGGCTAGCAGAGGTGTTAGGGGAGAAGTTCTGGAAATGAAGTGTCCGTCCCCAGCACAAGAACAGCCCAAGTCCTGCCAAACTGCAATGCCACTTACGTCAATCAGCATCCTCTTGTTCAAGAAAGAACTTTGATTTCCCTCCCCATGCAGAATCAAGCTGGCTATCAACAAGGGCAGGAGCTGTGCTAGGCAGACTTGACAATGGGCAGATATCAGACTAAGCTTCATTAGTCCTGTACTAACATCCCCTCTCCTGGGAGTGGGGAAGGTATCAGCACTCACAGGCTTCCTTCAATTATTCTTAAATTAACAAGTATAATTATTCTTAAAGAGTAAAATGCAGTACATACATTCACCTGCCAAATTCTCTTCTAGGTGGTCTTCAACTGGAACATCACTGCTCCCCACATTTGTTTCTAGGGTTAAATGTGCCAAGCTTTTAATAAGGGCTTGCTCTTGATGGTTAAATTCTGCTTTTACAGAGCCATTTTCACAGGGGTTCAATTCCATTTGCCTGAAGGAAAGGAAAGGAATAATGATTAGTGGATAAAAGCATTGCTTGGTGGAATAGTTGTTTGTGTTTTCACAGGGATAACAAGAAAAATAGGTACAGGAATTCTAGGCTCTCACAGGCAGCAGGATATATACCAAATAGGATATATGTCAATGATTCAAACCTTGCTCATAGATTACTGAATACATTCACAATGATTAAAAAAAAAAAAAAAGAGAGAGTAAAACCACCACTACCGATCACAAAAAAGAAAAATAATTACAGATTACAGGCAGCTGCTTTAGCCAAAACAGGAGTGCTTTTATATATGTACATATATATATATATAGATGTATATATATAAAATATATGCACACACACCCTTGCTGTCTTCTCCACAAATCACAATCACAGCTTGCTCTCTAGCAATTATTTTCTGAGCATATGGAGTGGAACCAAAGATACAGAAAAAAGCACTGAAATGGGAGAGAGTGGACTGGTGAGTGACCAGGAGGTTGACCAGCAATGATGGGGGAGGAAAAAAAAAAAAAGGAAAACAGCAGAGAAAGAGAAAACATGAGGTGGAGATGATCCAGCTCCCTTTTGTTGGGTCTTTTTCCAAGTTCGCAGCTCAGAACAAAATAATTTTGCCTGTATCCAGTACTGGTATTATCAGAGAGAAAAATGTGGAAAAGACACTACCAAAAACAATTTATATAGAGAATGATAATAAGGATTTTTATTTTACTTTTCTATTGTGGTGTGACTGGACAAGACCGAGTGTTTCATCTGTAAGATAAAAAGGAAAAACAAATCCTTTAATCCAAGAGCAACCTATCAYGTTTCTTAAACCTCACACTTCCCAGTCACAGCAAAGCATCTACCTCCCTGYGTGCACCTTGGCCTGCTGTTTGTTAGAGCACTTTGCCACTGAAAAGATAAGCTCACCAGGCACATCATCATACATATCATACTGCAATAGCTTAAAAAGATACTAAGTGCTATGAGCTCCCACAATGGATCTGCTTGCCATACACACAGGCAATTTTGAAACACATGTCTGTGGCTGGCCCTAGAAGTTACTAATAACTTTCATCTATGATTAAAAGTTAGAGATTAGTCATTGCTTATTATAAAAGGCCAAAAAGCAACCAAACAAAGAAGTCCTGCACCACCTGCAAGCCACAGCGTGCCCACTGGAAGACTACTAGCTACTACTGCATGGGTAAAAATTTCATTCTCAGCTTCCACAAATGCTCCTCTGCAAAGAGGCTTCTTTCTTCCCCTGCCAAGACTTAGAGAAGGGAATACAGGCCTTGTTTGATCTGAAAACTGCCAACGGGGGGGATCCAGGCGGAGTGTGATGCAGCAGCTCAGAAGTGAAGGCGGTATTTGCAATCTGCATACATTCTTCAAGGGTCTTCAGGAAGGTGTCACAGGTCGATTTCAACAGAGCTCCCATATCAATCCCGCTCTGTGGGAGAAACCAATTAGATATTGCCGCATCACAAAAGATTAGCTCGGAGCATCCCACAAATACAGCCCTCTGTTGCTACAGCCATGATTCCAGTTTCACCCAAATTAATGCAAGGTGCCAGAGAACTGGCATCACATCTTACTGGGACTGTGCAAACTCTTTTGCCTGCCTCTGTTGCACTTGAGGAGAAGTCTCTCTTCCTGGAGACATCCTGGACCTTCCACATCCTCCTCCTTCACACACTTGCTCCCAAGTCAAGGGGCAGATCATTAGGAGCAGGGTATCCTTCTTAAAATGAGGCYTTTTTTGCTCAGGAAATTTGTAACATAAATGTGTTATTTTCTTACTGCCAAGTAGTGCAGAGGCTAACAAAGCAGCTCTTCCCCTCAATTTTGCTTCTTTAAGCTATTATCTCTTGACCCTTTAAGGGTTTTACTTGAGAACAAGATTTTTTTTYCCCAGTTTGGGCTTTTAATGATTCTGAACAGCAATCTTATTAGGGGCAAAGATGCACTTCTTGCAAGCTATTTTTTTAATCCTTGCCTTTTGTTCCACTATATACACCTGATAATCTACAGTAAAATAAAAGGCCTTGATAGGTTACTAGCTAGAATTCCAAGAACCTAGGGTCATCTTACTGCTTACACAGGAACACAAAGTTATTTGCTCCCTTTCTTTATACCAATAGTTATTTCATTAGCATACCTACACAATAGTTCTCATTTACTTCCTATATGATCTCAGCTGAAAGAAAGCACAATACTAAGTAGCTATGAGTGAGACAACGGGCTAATCAGGAGTTTAGAACATTCAAGACTTCAAAGAATTGGTCTACATGGAGGAAAAAAAATAAAAAATAAAAAAAWTTAAAAAATGGAGCTGTACCTCTGGCTCTGATGCACCAGAAATGCTGGCTTCCTTAGTTTTGTGCACTTGCTGAACAAGGAGGTTACAGTACAGCCTAAGCTCAGACATTTTAGTTTTCAAGGCTTCCGTATTTTCAGTGAACTCTACAAATGAAACAAAAGAATTAAATTTATTCTTCCTGTCTTGCAGTATATGATTTTGGAGAGCRGCTGAAACAGTATTATCCAGCCCAATTCAACCAATACTTCCCCATTTCAAAACATTTTCTATTAACTCAAAAGATACTGACTTCTTCTAGGTTGGCCTTTAATTCTACTTATGCCAGGCATTGTGCAGCAGGCCCACATTTTGTTAGGACCCTACACTTGTATGTGGGGATGCATTTGCTGAGGATCACCAATTTATTCACAAACATTTTCTCTTTGCTATTTTTGATGTAGCCACTGAATTGAGGTTGTACCAGGCTAAAATATAAAGGCTTCCATGTGACTCACAAATAACATCAAGTTTGAAGCAAGGGAGCTCTACTTTGTGGAAGTGGAGCTTGTTGGTAAAAATCCCATAGAGACGTAAACTAATATGCATGGTTTGACCATGATCAGGTTTCACTTTATGCAGGCTAGTACGTACATTTAAGATGAACTGCAAACCTTTTCTTTAATTGCTACGGGGTCTTGGAAGGGCACAGGCAGCCCAGTTAGAAAAGGGAAAGGAAAAGGTCTGAGAAACTGGAAAGCTGAAGAGGAGCAGGCACTGGAGCGAGGCAGCAGGTGAGCAGACAGAGATGTGAAGGGGACTTGCCCTCCATGCATGCAGAGACAATCCAAATCTCAGGATCTCATAGCCTGAAGCAGCTTCTTGCAGAACAGACACTGGCCGTCAGCTCAGTTTTCAAGTGGCTTTTCCTTAAAATGTGCCACATATAAATCAAACTCTTCAGATTTCTGCACTGAGAGGAGCTAATGTGAGAGACTTGCAACTAGAGTCCTTGCATGGCTTCACTTTTAGTGATGTTTAAGACCTGCAGCAGCACAACTTGAACAGGGTTTAAGCACAGATTTTGTCATCCTTGCATGCACATCCTAGGATAAAGATACGCAAGCGTAACCAGTAGGTGAGGAGCTAAGGAGGTTCTTACCTTTTTCCTTCTGCGTCCTGCTGTCTGTGAGGCAAGCTTTGGCAGTTCCTAGTGCAACCAGCCACTTCTGCCTCTCCACGGCATTTCTTGCCTTCAGATAGAAGTATTGTTCCCCAGGGATGATCAGGTCCATCCGCGTGTTGTCTGCGGGATGGACTGGAGGCAACACAGGTTTCAGGTCAGATCTCTCCTGGTGAGCAGGACACACGTTTCTTCTCCTTCAGCCCGGCCCAGCCCAAATGAATAACCCAACAGACACGTATGTAGCAAGTCAAATAGCAAAGAAGGAGCAGGAACCTATAGGTCCAACCTTCCTCCATTGCCACTTGGCAGTGCTTCCACTGAATTACAGGACAGGACACACATGCATAACAGGTTTGGGACAAAAAGCTGGGAAAGGCACTTCTGTGAATAGCATAGCATCACCTGTGGGTCTTTACAGAAAAGATATTCTCATTTAGCAAGCCTCTCTTTCAGATTCCCTGCCCAAAACTGAGTCTCGAAGTCACGGCAAGTAAACCACCAGGGGTAAGCAGATGCAGTGCTGAAGTTCATTACTTAGCTTTGTGCCTAGCTAGTCATTTGAAGCTGTGTGCCCTTTATCAAGAATTAAGAAAAATAATGGCACATTTCCACATATAATGGCATTTCCACATATAATGGCACATGTAGAATATTCTTTATATTAGGCACTTGCATTTTTTGTAACATTTTCAAAATACTATAGAATAAAAACTTGCCTAAAGATCAAGTCACTGAGTTACTACAAACGCATAAGAAATGAAGACACCAGGAAGTCTGATTTCAAAYACAACTTACACTTATCAGACAACATTTGTTCAGGGCATGCTACTGTATCTTAGTTACCTTGAATTTCACACACAGCCATCTGGATGCTTCCCTTACATCCCTTCCAGGCATCTTCCTGAGAATCATAATAGGACAAGATACCACCACAGAGAAGAAACCATCGAGGCTGCCAGCCTAGGGGAAAAAAAAAAAAAAAAAAAAAGAAAGAAAAGAATCAAACAAGTTATTTCTCAGTTACTTCTCTCCCAGGAATCCAAATACTTCTGTAATTTAAAAAATCACCATAAATAATATCTCAATCAGAAAGCCAAGAGTAATAGATTCAGAAAAAAATGATCTGTTTGAGCAGGCAATCCTGGATGTTGTACACCACAGCCCCTGCTTGCTGGTAATTACAGGCTGGTAATCCTATGCAGGTAGTTGGACTCAGAGGCTCTCAGCTAAACCTTGCCAGTATGTTCCTAAGATGCTGTATGTCACATTCAGTAGCTCTGCTAACATGTTATCACTGGCTCTCTTTTCCAAAAACAGCTTTTTAATCCATTGCCCCTCAATTCCTTCCATCACTAACCAATTACCTCTTCACTCTTTCTAAAATTCACCATAGTTTTCTCATCTTTCATGTCCTCCTCCCTGCCAAAAGGCTGGTCCAAGTACCTTGAATAACAAAGGCCAAGAGGCTCCTTTCGAAATTAAGGGACAAAGGAAACAGAAGGGGATGTGCTGATTTCTAAACTCCATGTTTTAACCAAACACTTCTAAATAGCTCTTGAAACTCCCATGCTGTCTACAGGACAGAGAGAGAAGAGTCTTTAATTAAGAACTTGTACTTCTGCACACATCCCCAGGGACTAATCAAGCCATGAGGCTAAAATGCCCTGGCCCCTATCACCAGAGTGAATTTACCTCTTCTGCTCRCCTTGCTGCCCAGCCCCAGAACTAAATCTCACCTATCGGTCCCTTCTTTTGGGAGGGCTTCTCCAATGTTCACATGGATGAACAAGACCCAACAGAGTGCACTTACATCTAATAAAATAAGAGCTCAGTAGCACAGGAAGAAATAAGACAGCTGTGATCACCAGAGGAAACTGGCTTACTGAACTGCAACAAGTTTCCCTGGTCTCCCTGGTCAGGCCCAGCAGGGYTGAGGCAGCCAAGTTTCAGAGCTGTGCTGGAAAACTAACTTTTGGGGACAAGTAAAACCCAGCCCCCAGAAAAACTAGTGGTTTAAGCGACACCAAACACAATTCAATCCAGGTTTATAAAACTCCAAAATCACATACAGATAGCAGCAGGATAGTTCATTTTCTTTACAAGCAATACCACAACATCAGGGCCATGCTGCTCTAATTGATCACTCTGCCTCCAACATGCTGGAGGCTGGTTAAAAATACACTGTGAGTCAATAYGGTTTGCTGAAGGATTTATCTTTTATTTTTTGCTTTGGGGTAGAGTTTTTTTAAGGGGGAAGGGAGAGAGCAGCAATTATCTACCCATCTTGCTTTGCAGAACTCTTTGTATTAGATGGGCACCCAGAAGACAGTGCTATGCAATCGCTGGCTGGGACACTCCACATTTTCAGAGCAGAATTTGTTACTCTAATAAAAATAGTTTTTTTCCCCACTCCTTAAAGGAAAACAATAGATACAGCAAGGCTCTGTTGGTAGGTAACCTGGGTCTCCATGCGATGGACTTGGCAGCCATGGGAAGGTTATCCTCAATAACTASCTAAATATAATGTGTGGCTGACAAGTCCTGGACACCACAACAGGGAGGCAATTTTCAATTACAGGCGCTTCAATTTGCAGACAAGCAAAGAGGAGATCAAAAAAAAAATCCAAAGCAACAAAGAGTCACTTTGTGAACACAATCCTCAGGTTTGCTCAGTTTTATTCTCTCCCCAATAAACTTCCTATGAAAACTGCAAAGTGTGGTCCTATCCAGACTCTATCTGACAGAAAGCTAAGGCTGGATCTTTCTAGGGCTTAATGATGACAGCAAAGACACATTTCTCACGGAGAATCTTCTCTGCTTATTTACCCTGCTGGTGCACAGGGCAGGACAAAACCCAGCTCACACTTCCACAGCTTCTCTCAGCCTCACAGAGCCACTAACAGCAACGACTGACCTTGCTGGCAGAAAAAGCTGATAAAACGCAGGGCACATAAAGAGCAAACAGTAGCTTAACGGTCCAGTCGGAGGAGACTGAAGGAACAGCTTCCAGACAACCCAGCAGACACTGGTTAAGGTCCTAATCAATATTGTACCTTTGTGCAAAACTTAAAACCAGTACCTTTAGGACCTGGGAGATCTGATATTGCTCATCACAGAAATCGCTATCTAAGGAGCTGGTGTGTGCTAAGGAKCCAGCATTTCCTCAGAAGCTCCCCCGAATGGAAAGCTCTGCCTGCTTGCACCGTTACACTGGAGGGAGCTGGGACGCAACCGGCACAGGGCAAACGTGACGTTGCTCCATAACGCGGCCGCAGCTGGGACCTAGCTCCAAGTTCCCTGCTGCACTCGGGGCTTGCAGATCCCGTCAGACATCCGCAGGGCCAGCCCGGCTGGGCAATCMCACACTCCAGGAGTCAAGCTGATGAGCTGGAAAACAAGCTGCAATTAAGAGACGCCAGTTTCAGCTGCATTTTTAAGAGGCACGAAGGCAAGGCTCTTGGGTTCTTATTACTGATTGTCTCCCGCTAGATCATGTAGTGTTTTGTGCTTCTTCATTTCTTGAGCTTCAGCACAAACCTTCAAAAAAGCTGATGTGATAGACAGTCCTAGAAGCCTGAAGCCACTCCAACAAGAACAAAGCAGTATTGGTACCATGCAAAAGGGCTGATTTGAGGCCATGAATGCCATGAAACTCACATCTTCACTGCGAAAAGAAAAACCCAGCCTATTCCTGAGTTTCCAAGTAGCAGCTGCAGTCCAGACGACACCACCTCCCCCTTCTATAACTTCCTGCTGGAACATGGCACTCTCACACACAAATGCCTGCTGCTATGAAGAAAATTTTCCAATTAGCAGAAGCATCTGTAATGGTTAGAACAGATCCAGGGAATCCCATTTTCAGCCTAGAAGAGAGCCTACAAACTGCCCTGGGTCATTCTGAAAAAACTTACTCTGCACTGAGCTCCCTGCCTATCCATGTAACACAGACACTTCATGCTGTCCCAAAAGCTACACCGGGAGGCTTAATGCGTGCCCCTATGGACGGACCTATTTCTTTAAGGCTACAGAAATATCTGTTGCCAATGGACAAAACAGTAGCTCCCAAAATCTCCATTTGCTTCCCAGTGTTACACACCCACACACTCAACCTTAGAGCTTAGCTCTTGAAAAGCAGTAGCGTATTCCTTGCGTGAGGCTCAATCTGATTCATTTTGCTGCACATTTGATSTTGTCAGTCACCACAGTGCTCCTACCGAGGAACAAGCTGTGTTTAGCATAAGAATGTCTTGCCAAGACCAAAGAGCCCTTTACACTTCATACTGCAAAGGGTTATCGCGACATAAGCAGTTTGCACCAAAATCGCTGCCTACTCTTTAGTCACAATACAAAAATCCACAGACTTTACTCAAGAACAACAGTGCAAATGCAAACACGTGTGTCACAGCTCACACATGACACAGGCTCAGGGCTACTATCCCCTCACCTAGGGCCCCTTAAACTAACAAGATTTTGATAACAAAAACTCAGCACTTCAGCAATTTTATCACTTCTTAAGCAAGTCCAGTTTCCCACTTGGGAAAGGCTAGAGGTTCCAGTGAAGCAGGCAACAGGGGCTCTCCCACATGACTTCCCCAGGGTGTCCCATCGAGCCCACACCTCCTTCCCAAAGCCAAGYGTTTGGGCAGTGCTGAAGAACAGTCCTGCCCTCTCACAGCAGCTGGGCCTGCCCTGCTAATCTGCAGAGCAGTTTTATTCCAACATGCAGGTATCCGTCCTCGTAACGGAAGATGGGAAGAGCAGCATGCACATCTTCCAAGCGGATGCACTGGAGCGATGAATAAGGGCAGAGGGTGACTTTTTGAGGGCAAAGGAGGCAAGAGTTCAATAATTCAGGTCACTGCTCAAGAGGCACTTACCCCGGCCCCTGCGTGCAACAAAACACTCAGCTCTTAAGAGTTCCTAGGGATTTTCCTCCCTTTCCTCCTGCTGAGCCCAAGCAAACCAGCAGCTCCTATTCCTGACACGAGTCTCGGCTAGACAGAGTCAACGGCATTAATGCACCTGAACACACAGGATGGCACCTCTCTACCCTCACTCTGCCCCACCTTTTGACTCTGCTCTTCCCCACTGTTCCCGCCGGGATGGAGCTGTGGGTCCTTGGTGCAGGCCCCTAAGGGCTGCTGTGCAGGCAGGGGTGCCGCAGAGCTGCACGGCATCGCGCCAGCAGCCTCCGCCGCGCAAGGAGAGAGGAGGCAGCGCTTCCCACTCCTGCAGCCTCATCAAACCTGCTCTGCTGCGAGGTCCAAAGGGTTGGACAAAAGAAAACTGCTGCTGCATCCAAAAAAAAAAATAGCGGAGGAGGGAAGAGGTGAAAACGAAGGTCGAACCACACAAATGTAATTATGCAAACTGCAAAGGGAGGAACTGACTCTGGTGGAAGAACCAGGGTGAGACCCCAGGGGCCACCTAAGCAGCGGCCGCYCTCAGGGCAGTTACCACTGGGAACACCAGGCACAGCTCTGGGACACAAACACCCCGGCCCTGGGACACAAACACCCCAGCAGGGAGATCCGGCCCCCACAGCCCCTCTGCTCTTTCCTGTCACCACAACCTGGACTAAACCCAGAGGGCTAAAAAGAGGAGACAACAACTGTAAACAAGAGCTTTTCAAGAATCAAATATTTACCCAAGTGCAAAGCTTGCAATGACGGCTTCCTTTTCTGGAAGCACAGAGGACCTTGTTTTCAGAGCTGAAATCAGCTACAAGCAGTCCTGTTTCCCATTATGAAAGGCCAGATTTCTTAAATTCAGCACTGGAAATAGAGTCGCTCCAAACAGTATTAGCATGTGCATCCAGAATAAATCTATAAAAGCTGATGTTCTTTCTTTAGCCTCCTCCAAGTTTGTTGAGGAATTCRGAATCATTGAGACACAAGGGTAACTTAAAGCCTTATACGCAGCCTCAGATTTACTGCTTAGTTTTGGCGCACGGCATTAATAAAAGGAAAATAAAAAGAATTCAGAGTATAACCATAACACGGCAATGAAAGATTCATGAAGAAGATGGGAAGAGCCAACACTGGAATGTGCTACAATGCAGTCTAACTAGTGACCACATGAACGTGAGGCTGCAAGGCTTCAAAGAGGAATTAAGTTAAGGTTGTAGTTACTCCGTCCAATTAAGAAAGGGAATATTTACATGCCGGGAAAGGCTTAGCCTTGTGACAAGCCATCAAAGCCCTTTCACCAATCACACAGAGCACAGGAGGCAGTTCAGTGGATGCTGTCCGTATTTTTCCATCTCTAATGACTAAGYCGCCTTTAATCCCCAAGCCAAGACCTGACACATTCCTTCTTTCCTTCCTTCCTTCCTTCCGGAGTGCAGCTGCATTCCTGCCTGTGGCCAGTCAGTGCAGGTAAACTGGGTCTCATGCGGAAGAACGGAGCTTAGCTGAATTTCAGCAGGAGGGGAAAGCAAACACAAACAYAACATCAAACCCTGAAAGTGCCCAACTACTGGGCACACAAGGGAAGGTGTTTCCCAATTCCATTCTCTTTTATTCCTTTGTGTTCAGTGATAATTGCTACGAACTTGTGAGAAATCAAAGTCTCAGATTATTTTTAACAAGGTAGCTTCCAAAGACTAGATTTTTTTTTTTTTAATTGGAGTCAATGCAATAAAACTGCTCAATTTCAAAACACAAGCAGGAGCCTTCACATGCAGTTCACTTCCGTGTTCTCCTTTTCCCTGCTCCGCAGTCTGCATTCCTCAGGTCACAACACGCAAACGTCGCTGTTTCATGGGCAAAGGATGAAACCCAGGAACTTTTTCAGCTCAGATTGCCAGCCCCAGCTGTGGGCTGGGCTGTGCCCACCCACCCTGCACGCCGTCGCTGCCCAGCACGGCCAGCTCTCGCTGCTGGCAGGATTCATTCACTGAAGCTTGCAGAGACATCATTCAGTTACCCAAGGGCTATCACAATTACTGCCTTAGTTAACCCTGCTGATAGAGTTTCTGTTCCCCCACAGTTTTAGCCCGTTCAGGGGGGATGCAGAGGCAGTCTCAGAGGATGCATTTACTGCAAGCACAAGATGCCAAGCGGCAGGCTAGAGCTCTGAGCACGCGCATCGCAGCCAACGCTGCCACAGGACTTGAACATAAATTTTTGTAAAACGACTCATTTAAACACTCAGGCTTACCTGGTGTGTATTACAGCACAGAAATCTCCCCTAACCTCGCTAAATTCAGAGATTTCAAAGKCAGCTTTGGGACACCCACACACAGAAACTACAGTGTGAGCAGGGGATCACGCCAGGACAAGGGGACCCAGCTACACACAGCAGAGCCCTGCTCCCCCTCAGTACCAAGGTAAAGTCATCTCTTCCTATCTGAACCAAAGACATAATACAAACAGAGTTTATCCTAATCAACACAAAGCAAGCAGGGATACTTTATGATCAAACAAGGTAACTTGTTTGGGCAGTAAGGCAAGCTAAGCTATCGAGCAGCTGTTTGCAATCAAGCTGAGCTCTCCGACCTTTGCCCATGGACAACCCAACTCCTTTCCCACAGCGGAAGCCTCCGTGCTGCCAGCAGCTCTGCAAGCTGCACGAGGGCAGCTCCCTGCCCCAGGGCTGTGGGGAAATCCTCCCAGGGAGACTTTGCCTCTCTGGTGTGGATTAGGGCACAGGTCGTAAGAAGAAAGTCCCCAGAGAAGACCCAAGTACCAAGAGACCCCGGGGAGTCCTCTTGAGGCAGTAAGAGAAGCTCCTTTTCAGTAGTTTCAAGGCTGTTGTTCTGGTTGCTGTCATACCCCGGCTCCAGCTAGGTGAAACGAGGGTGTGCTTTGCATTACAAGGAGGAGATGCCCTCACATACCTGTCGTGCACTTCCCTCCCTGTGGTATCACACGCGTAGGAGATGGTATCTCTGACAGACAGAGGTGACTCCTGTTTTACCTACCCTTCGCATGTTCTGTTTACACCCAATTAGTTAACCCTGCACGAGACAAAGGGGCAGGACAGACAGAAACAACAGTCCTGGAGGGTCTGCTGAACCCCCACTTTGCCTCTGGTTTCCATTTCATCCCCCAGGCCCATTCAGTTTCATCTTACAGCTCTGTATTACTGATAGCATCAACCCCATATTCTAACATTTGGGGCTTTTTTTCTGCAGTACAGCACATACACAYAAACCTAGTGGCTCTGGGGGCAGGAAGTCCTTCACATTCCTGTTTCGTTACATGCCAAAAGAAGGTGCATGTAAGCAGAGTTAGCTTACAGAGAAGYAAACTGCTGCTCCCAAAACACACCAGGCTGCCTCCTACAGCCCCAGGATAAGAGCTTATCTTGTAAAGGAGGACACAGAAGACGCTGCATGTGCAACTTATCTGTGGGGGAAAAAAAACACCCAAAACAAAACACACTTGTATTTGCTTTTCAGTTTTTCGCTTGTGGTGTCCAAAAAGCTTTGATTTAAAGGGCAAAAACTGCAGCAACTTTCTACTGCATCAATAAATCCCACCTTATCCATCATGCCTGCCCCCTAACCCCTCTAGCCACACACGCGCATGTCCTGCCTGCACTTCAGCTTAAGTTTTGCTCTTTCTTTGTTCAATTTTAACATCCAAACTAAAAACCAAGCTGCAGCCGAACTGATTTCCCTGGGAAATATATATATATATATATATTTATTCAAAGCAGAAGGACTCCCTCTTAAAGGTACTGCAAGAGGGAGATCTGCCCCAGCAACGCCAAGGTCACGCTTATTCCTGTGACCACGGGGCTCGCCAGGGTTGCAGCCCAGGGCAGAGCCCTTCGCCCGCTACAAGGGCTGCCCCGACTGCCCCCCGGGGYGCTCGGGGCTCAAAATCCCGCGGCGGCTCCGGCACCCCCTCCTCGGCCGAGCTCGGGGCATCCCGTGTCCACATTCACATTCCCAGGGCGGGAACGGGAATGCGCGCGGCTGCTCTGCGGCTGCTGCAGAAGGCGAGAGCCTCCCAGAACAGCAGGACCTGAGAAAAGCCGCGTCCGGGCCTGCCCTTTATTTCCCGTTATTTCATGTTATTTTACTTTATTTCATTTTATTCTGTTTTCGCACGCGCCTTYGCCCAAACCACCCGCGTGCGGCTCAGCGTTGACACCTCCAGTTGTGAGGCGCTGGGATCTCCAACAATCCCACAGAACGGCAACCGGCCCGGCAGCTTCACAGGGATGCGCAAAGGAAAGTTTGCTGGGAAGGATGACCTACGCGCATTAAAAATGAAT